TACATTTTAATTTTTTTAGTCAATTATATAATGCTAAGTTATGAGAAATAAAAAAAAGGATTTATACTAAAATTGTATCAATTTAGAATACGTCTGAGGGTCCAAGCATAGATATTCAGTGTTTAAAAAGTTAGAGAAATGTATGGTTTTAAAGAAAATTCATTTTCACCAAATTTAAATTAGCTTATGTCATTGCAGAGCTAAAATCTATAACAAAAAAAAAAATAATAAAATTCCGCCAGTTATTTGGTGCTTAGAGAAGTAGACATACAGACTTAGATATTAAAAATCCCCATATTTTCTTAACAGGTTATTATAGGCAGGGATTAGGGATAAGACCTTCAGGGGTTTAAATTATGTCCTAGCCCCAATTGATAGATCAGTCGCTTATCCCTTTAAGATTAAGTGACTTTTACATATTACAACTTTTAAGGCCTATTGTTAGATATTAACAACAATATATGTTTGTTATTTATTTTGACCACAACTGGATAAACACTTGAAAAATTTCCCTAAAATACGTTAATAATAACACATATTAAGCCATAGTTTATGATAAAAAGTGTAATATTATGATATATATAATCATACTTGTCATAGAGTAGAGCTCTACCAAGTTAAAACAAACACTTACATGACTGTATTAATTAAGCCAGTTTATTATTTTTTTTTTCAGAGAATGTAATGTGATGAACCACATTATTGTGGCAATTAATGCATACTGAAAAATCGATTACATACAAATTTTAAAGGAAGTGTTTTTAAAGCTATCGGTACATAAACTACTTTTTAAGAACTCGTCAAACATTAAAAATGACTATGATTTCTAGAAAATAATGTTACTTTTATAAATCAATGTTTATGAGCTATTTACTACCACATATATACATATTTACAATGACAATACACAATATACTGTCATCAGTCTTACCACCAATAAAATGATCTCCAAAAGCAACTCCGTGATCCATGCCATTTTTATTACAGTAACTGTCCCATTTCCCTGAAAAAAGACAGCAAAAATGTAAGAAGCAATTTTAAAGGATTCCTGGCCTTAAGACTATAAAATGAGAACAGACATAAGTCAAAATTTTGATTTTAAATATCATGAGATTAAGGAATAACTGTCTTATTTTTTGAATTCATGAAGTGATCAATGGATTGGTTTGTGTGATAATTTGCATAAACGCCGAAGGCGTTTATGAATAAAATTATCTTACAAGCCAATCCATTGATCATCATCATGAATTCGAAAAATCTGACAGTTATTCCTTATATTTCCATGCTTTGATTACGCCAATCCACGGGCTCCAAGCCTTCTTCTCTTTAGGTGTTGTCCCGCCCTGCACGTGGTTTTTTTTTTTTTTTTTTTTTTGAACCGCGCCAAAACATTCATGAGGAAATAAATTACATTTACAATTGGTAATTTTATCTCGGACAAAGACATTGGAAATCTAAATATTGTCAGATAAAAGCATACTTTTTTGTTTTATTCTCTAGTATTGTGATTGCAGAGTGTAAAATATAAAAAAAAATATGAAAATGAGCAAGACATTTTACGTCGGATGTACATGTACATATTATATGACGGTGTGCTAAGGTCTCGAATTACACAGTTTTTGACGAAACCATTTGTACACATACATGTACATATAGATAGAAAAAATCCCTGCTACATATTTGTGTCAAGCTGTCAAAGAAAGAAAAACGGAGGAAAAACTGTTGTTTTTTAATCGGTTATCACATTTTTTATATCATTAATTAAGTTTCATTCAAATAATTCAGTGATGGAATTTCATGAAATAAATAATCGATTGCTTGTTGTCAGTTTCATTTCAAATTGACTTTCACTTAATTAGATCCGCCAACGGGAGCCGCCACCACACTTTTTGGAAAATATCCTACTTTCGTTTTGATTTTTTTCCAGATCAATGTCAAGTAAACAAGTGACAAGATCTATCACAATTGAGATAGAAAGTGAACACAACGCATTTGTGTGTTTGAAACATTAATTTAGCAAGTTGAATTTTAAATCTATCTCATATAATTTTTGTTTCTCAATAGCAATTAGCATAAAATATCAAATGACCTTTACGGTATGGCATATGTGTTGTTCGTCGTTTTAATCCATATATGAGATTCTTTGAGCATTAAATGAGATTTATAGCAAAATTCGGAGTTAATAATTTAAGAAAATAAAGACTGCTTCAAAATTAAACTAGACGTGAATTCTTTGCTTGATACACTGGGGTACATATTCCATTAATATGGCTGACCATGATTTTGCTTTTTAATCTTAAAATACACAAAATATTAATTTTCAAACTCCTCAAGACAATACATTGCACATTTAACACAAAAATCTGCAAATAGGAATTTACCTTAATAAGCAGTTATCTGAAAGCAAACATAGTCGCAATCGCACATACATCTGCTGATTGATTTGTTTACAACTTTACGGAAGTTAAAAAAATAGAGCAACAATAAATTGGGTCAAGGTTATCCGGTTTTATGTTGTTTGATTTAATTGTTTTCAAAAGATAACAAAAGCAATCATTACATGTATTTCTAATTACGCTGCAAGAGTGCACGCACGTATTACATGTATTATACATGTAAATGTGGATCAGGATGGGGGTAGAGTTAGTGGAACGTTTTATCTGCAAAAAGTATCTTTCAATATTTAAGGAGACATAGACAGAGTTTCAACTGAATTTTTTAAACCACTATAAATATTTACAATTCCTAACAAAGCTATAACATCTAATGATCAGCAAACGAGATACAGAACTAAAAGTTCTTCATAATGCAAACAAGGCACGTGTCTTATTTTTGTTTATAAATAGAAAATATCATATTTATAAGAAAATGAAATTCAGCAAATCACTAGAAAATCTAGATTTGAATTTAAAATGTAATTCTTTATTGAAATTATCTGCTTTCAAGTTGAACGAACATATATAAATATATTAACCTTTGTACACTAAAACATGACACAGACCCTGTTTACAAGGGTGATAAAAAGTTTGCAAACTAATTGAATAACTGCTACAAAAGAAAAAAAAATGGTCTCAATTTTATGATTTTGGATTGAATTTTAAATTAATCCTCTCCGATTTTAATGCATATCAACCACCGTTCTGCTCTTGCACGAATCAAGTGATATCGGCGGTCGCGTGACCCCCTCCGTAGCGTTCTGTCATAAAAGTTTAAAGATTTTACTAAGTTTTATGTTTCTTTCCATGTATTTGAATTTTTGTAGCAAGAACACTTAATTTGTCAGAAATGGTCAAATCTCGGTGACAGAATGGATGGATTAGAATATCCTTTCCAAAAATAAATATTGTGACTATCAAAACTCAAATCTTCTGTCTTCGGAGAGACGTTTATTCAAGGTGGCTAGAGAATGGGAACGATATCTTAGGTATTTAATAATTATATTATTGTTCAAATATTCAACTATTTTTCAGGAATGAAATGAAATTTTCGCGAGCTCATTGTCTCGCGTAATTAAGTTCTCGCGAATAAAACGTGAATTACAGCAGTATTCCTATTGTTAACTGTATTTCCGTATTACCAATAAATCATTTTACTAAATAATCTTTATGTTCAATGTGTCACTAAAATTCAACTAGGCGTTACGTTTTATGAGGTGTATATATTTTTGAGATGTTACTAAAGCATTGAATTCATATTTTGGGATGTCTTCGGTCCTATAACAAACCTGGCCGTGCCGACAAATTGAATACCGCGCGTTAGGACCGAAGACATCCTTAAATATGAATTCAATGCTTATATTGACATTCTTTAATTTTCCTCTACATAATTGTTATTACGGCAATCTTTAATGTGAATTTAGCGCCCTTCAAAACTGATGTGCTTTATAGACGTAAGAGCAGTTTTGACGTTTGTGACGTCGTAAAGTTTAATAACGCAAACGAACATTGCGCGAAAAAAAAGTGACAGACTAATTTTAAATGCACATTTGTTGTATTTTTTCGTTAATTCCACAGTGTAATTTTTTTTTATCAAATTATGTCAAAAACTACATTTTGGTGTTCATAAAGTATTGAAAATGCATATAGTTCCAACTGTGTATTCTAACGCGCGTTGACAAGGTTTCGCGTGTTTTGTCGAGATTTGAACGTCATGGATTTCTAATGGATTTCATCAAGAAAATTACACTGAATGTAAATATAATATAATGTTATAACGTTAGACTATGAATAAAGACGTTTCTTCAATCTAATTTCTATCAGAACAAGGTCATTCAATAAAATATCTCTGAAAAATGTTTTACTGATAACAATAAAAAGGCAAATGCTGATGAAAATCTACACTATCTATATTGAACCTCATAAAATTGTTAGCCAAGGCACGTTTCCGTGGTCCATCTCTTTAGTGTGTTTTGGAGGATTCTGAGTGTAACCAAGTATGGTTTCGGGAGAGAATAAATCAGTTCTGTGAGGTTTAACATCAATGATTTCCATATGCATGCAACATAATACCTTGACATGCGTTTATCAAAAGTGACTAAACATTTTATTCCAGAGATGACAAAATGATGCGAAAAAAGAGGATCAAGGGCCGGCGAGCCGGGCGTGCCCCCCCCCCTTCCGTTTGAAATTTTTGTAGGAAAAATTTATACGTCCATCATCCTAAAATTAAGAAAAAAATGCTAATTTACATTAAAAGAACTTGTTAGCTTCCGGGGTTCGCCCCCGAACCCCCCAAAAAGACCATGCCTTAGACCCACTTGGGGCTTCAGTACAGCAGCCAGACACCTTTGCCTTTTAATAGAAATATAATTCTTTACACAGAAAAGGAGCAAATAAGCGATTCTTAGAAGGATAATTTTAAATCCAGCTAAGGGGTCATTTTTAATTTTTAGCACGGTCTGACTGTTTTCTTTTTTTCCTTGTTATAACAACAAAAGGCAGGATGTTTGTGCACAACCGAATCATTTTAAAGATAAAATACTGAGAAGTGAAAAGAAAAAATTCTCAGAAAAGGGTACTTATATGTTCTACGCATTTTATGATTTTTCTCTAAATAAATATCAAGGAAATTATTAACTTAAGTGAATATTTTTGTGCTGGAGAGTTCTAACCCTTACACAAATATGCTGTCGGTGACATCCATTTTGGTTTTGTTGTTATGCTTTATTACAATACAAGGTAAATATTTGTAACTTTTTTTCAGACATGCTTTTCTTAAAAGAGATTGATATTATTTCAGATATATATTTCTAGAACAATGCAAATCTTTTTCATTATGTTAAGAGGATTTTTACAACATTATACATTACAGTTCCCTCTATTTACATGTAATTTAAAATTCTAACGTAAACTTAATGATGCCCAAATTTTAACGAAAGTTTTTATGAATATTAAGAGATTTGATAAACTTGATATTTACAGAAGCTTTAAATTGAGGGTTTTTTAATCTTGAAATGCAACTTTTGTAATTTTATAGTTATTTACACTTTTCTAATTTTTGAAATACTTTTCTTTCATTTTGCTTAGTGGACTGCGATGAACCATGTGGTATTTCCGAGACGTACAAATCAATTCTTCGAAACTGCATACCTGCAGTGCTGAATGCCGCATTGGACGATCGACTGAACTGCTCGTAAATTACTATATGACATCACGAATCATCATATGAGACATAACACCTCCACACAATCAAGTTAACATCCAAAAAAATATTAAGATCCCTGAATAAGTTTCAAATACTCCTGATTTATTTATATGTACCTTTTTTTCAATTTACAAAACGTATTCGACTATAACAAATGCTTAAATCCCTTTCATTTTAAGAAATGCTACACTGTAGTTAATTGAGTAATTTATTCTTTTTTCATTTCAGTTCTATTGATTCGTACTGGACATGTGTGAAACATGTTTCAGAAGTGTGTAATCTTCCTGTCAGTGGACAAATTTTTGATCGAGCCAGCGAAGTAATCAAGGATCTTGTTTGTAATGGTAAGAGTCTTATAACTTCTTGTTCTTTTATTATATTAATTTTTATTCTTATTTCTTAAAACATTTAGAGTCACGAAAATCATGTACCTGTTTAAAAACAGACGTCTATAATTAAATTTCCTATGCTTGGCTTCATTCCAATTTTCCTGTGGTGTAAGCACGTACGCAAAAGATCCTTCAGTTTTCCAATGCTGTCTGTGCCTGATACATGGCATTGTCGTATTTTGCAGCTCTCTAATGACAAGTAGTGACCTCTCAATGACTCGAAAATTCTCTAAGGGACTTAAAACAGACTCACAGATTGTTTATCTGATGCACGTTTCTGATGCACGTTTTATATTTTTAGGGAACAGGCTGAATTATTCACTGCCACTAGAAATCTTTGGCATCATGGTCTGTTTTTTCTTAATGCAGAAACACCGTGGCTATTAGACTACACATATTATGTCATTTATTCACGTTATATTTAATGTAATATTTAAACGTAATCTAAAACGTAATTTTCTTAACTATAACAGCATGATGTAATCCTTATTAGTAATTTCTACTTATAAAATACATGGTTACTGTCTTGAAGTATAAGCGATATTTGGGCGAGGGTAAGAAAACGTAAGAAATCTTACGTTTTCGACCCGAGCCTAAATATCGCTTATATTTCAAGACAGTTATCATGTATTTTGTTTATCCTGCAACAAAATTTTACACTTGAGCGTCCAAACCAAGCTAATTCTGACTGCAGTTGAAACTATGACGCCATGGCGTAAACATTGCAATATACATGACGTCACAATGCTTTTGGAATGTCGGATTACATGCACGAGGCTTTATTAGGGCAGTGACCGCATAAAGCTTTGGTGTATTAGGTTACCTTTATTAGGTCAATGCAAGGAGTAGTTGCAGGATCAAATATTTTATTTCTATTTGCTCGATGTATATACATGATATAACATGAAATGTATAAAATAAGGTTAAAACATTTAGGAGACCATTATTTTTGCATTATTTTTAGAAAATAGATAAGTTTATAAATATAAATTAATTATAAAAGTAATATTTGATATGCATTCATAACAAATGTAACGATGAGTGAGTATTTTTAATAGTTTGAGTATAACAGTGTTTAGGATTATTAAACGTGTAATTTCTATGTTATTGAAAGCTTTTTTATGTACGTGAGTATTGTTTTAATGCTATTCGTCATCTGAAAAACAAATGTTGATATTGTAAATTAGTTTAACAACGTATACGTATAAATATTTATTAAACATTCTTCTTTTCTATCTATCTAACTTCGACTGTATTGAATGGTGTACTATATTATCTGCGAGCAAATTGAAACATAACTGAACACTTTTATCTTAATTTAAATTCAAATGTAAGTTAAAGTATATGCCTTTCTAATTTTAATTTGTTTTGATTATATATTTCTATTAGATCAATTATTATCTACATGTATCTGCACCTTGTCATAACAAAGCAAAGAATTACAGAGAGCTTGTCATATCTACCTGAATCTCTATAAAATTGAGTGTTCAACTTTTGTGTTTGAGCTGATCACATTTGTAATCATATTTCCTTTTCAAGAGAATATAGGACTGTTAATTTGCGTTTTGATAAAAGTAGACAAACATATTTGCATAAAATATTTATTTGTGGTTTGGAGAAAACATACCGATTATGAAACATGTTTTTGAAATACTTTTTGAGGAATTGTAATGTAATACTTCAAGGAAATAGAGCAATACGAGGGTCATACAAAAAATTCGTAGATAATGTTCCTCATTATCACATTATTTTGACAAATGTTGATATCAGTACATTTTCATATGTAAAAATATATATTTTATAGATTTCTGAAGTTTCATTCTATTTGATTGAATGGAACTCATACTAGGCAATTTTAAATGCAACATGTTTTGTCACATCGGAGCACGGTCAAAACATTGTAACGTCAAAAACAACGTTAAGGAAATTTTCTCAAACTCACAGTTCCTTTTCATTTTATACATTGTTTGTATCCTATTATTCATTCATTAAAACGTATCAACAACAATGGACACCTAGTATGCTAACAATAATTTGAGTATACCTTAAATAAGATTTTCAATGTTTTCTAATCATTTACCATGTAACTTTTCTCTTACAGGTTCCGCAACAGTGAAGCGCACATCACGTTTCATGACGTTACTAACTCTTTTGACAATATTTCGAACTATAATCTGTTTCTTTGCAGAACGCCCATCGCCCAATTTAAAGTCTTTACCCCTCAAAAATTGTCTGTTCCATTATAAACAAATACACGGCTCATTTTATGTATTTTTCCTGGTCTCTCCAGCATTTTCGGAGTTTGTTTTAAAAGTTTCCAAATGCAAAACGTCCTTCGACGTCATGATTTTTTGCTTTTTTAAATCAAGACTATCTGTCTATAGAAATTGATTTCTTTTAATCAAAGCAATATATTACATTAACTTTTTGCTTTTGAAGAAATGAAACAATACTACAATTTAAGTATTTAAATTTTATTTCATTTAAGGACAATTTTAAAGAGGTAAGGCTATAGATATGAAAAGTGAAAAGTGAATAATTTGTCAATAACTCAATTTTGACCCTGCTCCATGACCCCAGTTTTGCTGTCTAAAATCTTTGATAATTTTGACAAAAATCAAGATATATTCCAATTTCTTTGCTAAAAATATTTAAATTTGTTGTTAAAATATATGTACCAAATTTGGTTTAGATATGACGTAAAATAAAAAAGTTATGACAAAAGTCCTCGAACTTTTTGAATGACCCTCGTACTTAGGAAATCTTATTCCAAAATATAAAAAAAACTCCCCACGACTGATACATATAAGGTTCTTTGATGAATTCAAATATTAAATAATACTATCTGAGAACTTGAAATTAAATATACTAAGGTCAACTGGAGACTCTACACGTGACAATCTTGTTTAATTGTACATCAAAGTCTTATGAACATATCTAAGATGTACACGAAAGGATAAAAAGTGACCAGCAGTAAAAAATATCATACTCATACTTAAAAAGAAATAATAATGACGCAAAAAGCCACATTTTCTGAAAAAAAAACTATATTCATCTTGAATGGTTCATGAAAGTTTATTTTGAACAGGGATTGGGTAATTGAAAAAAGTAATTGTAATTTAGTGTAATTAATTACAGTTTTCAAAGTAATTGTAAGTAATTTGTAACTGAGCCTGCTTTCAATTACAAGGAATTGAATGTACTTAAATGCATTTTAAAAATTAGCATGTATTTTCAATTATTTTTCAATTACATTTCAAATAATTTTTTCAAGTTAAAAATTTAGTAAGGTATGCATAGTTTGCATACATAATTGGGCTACACCTGTTTGGCATGAGCTTGCATTTATGCATTAATTAAATGTCTCGTAATGTTTAATTTGTTTGGGTACCCATTTGCTTATACAACATGACATGATGCCGAGGGTAATAGGTAAAGGACTTAGGTCTAATTTTGTTCAAATGTGAACCACCCCTCTCATACCAAGGAACAAAAAATACTGAATAATTGTTAACTATAAAAACATATAGTTTAGAACCAAAAAGGAATTCAAGGGTATGAGATGACTTTAAAAATCTTCAGACCTAAAATATGCTGTTTGAGCGATACTCTGTTTGAAAATCTTATGATGATTAAAATGTGCTCAAAACTGAAGAAGCACTAATTTCACTACTTAATGCCTATATATACACTGTACTTGTATATTTTTTTCGAGTTTTTTTTTTTTTTTTTTTTTTTTTTTGAATAAAACTGAAGTAGGTGAAATGTATTTAATTTCATTTTTCAAAGTAATTGAGAGTAATTAATTACATTTGAAAAAGTATCTAATTACATTTTAAAGTAATTGACCCCATCCCCCATTTTGAACTATAAACATTTTTATCACATTGCAGTGTATAAATATATTTCTATGTAGATTTCAAATATTTTGATCATTTTGACCAGTGACCAGGTAAGCAAATTTACGAGTTCTATTTTTATCGAAAAAGCAGCTGTCTATTATATCAAAAAGCATGGACTTAAATTTATTTTAATTTGAGGGGAATGGTTGTGTATAAAGTTAAAAATTCGTAAGTTTTTAAGCTGTTTATTTTGGTAAACTCAAATTTGGTAAACTAGTAAACTGATGTCAAATTGTACAAAAGTTCTTTGAAATGTTTGAGTATCAACATTTGATTCACAAAACTTCTTGAATATATTGTTGCTCAGTACTCTTGAAGTTTTCCTTCACTACTGTCAATTTTTTGTAAGGAGTAACGAAAAAGGCTTGGTTGAACATTTACTGGAATCTGCAATGTATCTTTGCAAGAATTTTTATGAAGTTTCGGAATTCAATATGTGTGTATATATATATATATATATATATATATATATATATATATATATATATATATATATATATATATATATATATATATATATATATATATATATATACAATGTATATATATATATATATATATATATATATATATATATATATATATATATATATATATATATATATATATATATATATATATATATATAGGGTAGTTTAAATTCATATTGGCTCTGTGGAGTATTAGAATATTGAAAACTGACATATGGTTTTGAAGAATGTCTTCCTTAGAAAGGGAAGTATGAGTATAAGTAGGATTTTTACCTGTAGATTTAAATCTAAGTTCTTCTAAAGTTCAATTCATATATTGAACCTTACAAACGAAGACAATGATGTTACCTGGTTTGTCGGCAGGGACCAGTACGTACTGATCATGTAATCTATCTAAATCTTTTAGTGGCAAACTGCATCACTAAGGAACCGCAGTAATCACAATAATGTCAAACAACGTCTATGATCACAAGATATCAAACTAATTCATCGCTAAAAATTTAATTGATACATGAAGATTATGACAAGTACTCGTAAAATTAAAATACACAGCAGCTAAGAGCATAAACTCAATATAGAAAAGGAATTTACTGATACCATTCTCTCTTCAGTTAATTTGTTCATATGTACTGAACGCATTAACAACAAAACATAATGCGCGTATCAAATACATAAATTCAATGTGATTGTTTTTATTAAAACCGACCTAGCAAATACATTGTGGGTATGTGCATGAAACAAATGGAGATAACGAACAGTATTCAAATTAAAAAATCAATAAAACAATACAAAAAACAGCAGGACAAACACGGAACTCCAAAACATCAGAGGTGGCATCAGGTACCAGGGAGGAGTGGGCATCCGCTGCCGAACGATCTCATTCGCCGTGTGCTTCTTGTTATAATCGTGAAATAACGGAAAAATCCGTCATCAATCCAGTATATATATGTTATGGACTAACAATTAGTATGAAAAACGTCAGTCAGCATTTGACTTAATGACAAAGGCCATCGTATTGCCTAAAACGAAACTGTTCATATTCCTGTTTCATCAACTTGTTTGTCAATAATTTATAAATTGTTCTTACGTAGAACATGCTTATGTGTATCGAATCAACTGAGATAATATAAACTCCGTATACAGGTAATAAGGTATATTACAGCAAAAGTAAGGGAAGCTGGCGATTCTAAAGCTAAAGTCATCACGTTTATGACAGAGCTTGGTTGTTAGATTACCATTAAAATTTTTTAAGTAAAATATCCAAATATAAACCATATATGTCAGACTCTGTGGTATCAAGCTCACCAGGACGTATCGTGTCGACATAAGGATGTAAATTACCATAGTTAATTGACAATACTACGTCGATATCTAAAAGTTTAGGGCCAAAGCAAGTGTTTTGTCTTTATGATTATGCAGTATTTGTTTGTTTAAAATTATATGATTTTGATTTTTGTCTGCATATATATGTAATCCAAGTATTCTAAAAACTGTTACGTGTTTACAATATCAAACTTGTAATAAAGCTTACTCATGGCCATGTCCATGCCAGCTGCTGACTCATTAAATAAAATATAGATAATGAGTAGAATATGGGAACTATAGATTTTTTAAAAAAGAAAATAAACAGAATATATTATAAAAAGACATTCAAGATACACTTCAAATATTTTCAGCATTGTATGTTTAAACACTTTGTAAAATAGGCAATCCGTATAAAGAGATCGTGTGAACCTTACTCCTTTCTCCATTGGAAGGACCCTCAATACTTTGAAAGGTCTCCTAATACAGGTTACACTGCATATTCATCATTACCAAATATCATATAGTAAATTCCTTCAGAATGAAGGGTTATTTTTAATTGAATATCATGGCTGATTTTTAAAGATTAAAACATAAAAAGCGCTAATTGTCCTCAATATGCAATGTTTACTTTGGATTATAAGGTATAACCAGAAGTCTCTGTCAAGACAGAAGCTCTACTAGTTTGTTCTTATAACAAATAAAGAGCAAAATAGCAGTTGGGACTTGAAACATTAAAACAACATTAAAAAGATTTATAATGATCCTTGATTAAGTCGATTTGTGGGAATATATTGCAATAAGACAACAACTGTAGAGTATTTTTATTTGAGATAACAGCATATATAAATGTAATATAGATGCCTTTATCTTTTTAGAAAATATTTTGCTCGAGACCGGCGTATACAGTCGGGTTCGGTACACTCATCCTTTTTTAAATGCGTTTCAAACAGAGAGGTAGCAGACATTTTTAGCTCTTAAATAATTAAAAAAAAATAAGCACAGTCCTGATTTCTTAAATTTCCTCTGTAAAGATCACGTGGCAAAAGCATTCATCAAAATTAAAAAAAAGATATACGATAAAAGGCCCATGGGCCTCATCGCTCACCTGAGCATATGGGCTAGTTAAACAACACAAATCAGCTAAGTATTGAAAAGCTTACTTGTTGGGGGAAGATTTTCCAACATATTACTCGATCTCCCACTGTGAGCTCTCGTTAACACACCCCAATCCCTCTCTTTCACATTCTCTGAATAAATTTAAATCTTATACTTGCAGATGCTTACATGTCAATTAAATTTAACAAAGCTTTCTGTTTTTTGATCAGCCATTGTGGCCTCGCCCTAACCCCAGATGTCATGATTTGAACAAATTTTGAATTTACACTTCCTGAGGATGCTTCCACATGAGTTTCATCTTTCCTGGAATAAAGGTTCTTGAGAAGAAATTTTTTTAAAAATATTTTTCATATATATTCCTATGTAAAACATTGATCAGCCTTTGTGGCCCCTCCCTCCCCTCCTAGGGTCATGATTTGAACAAACTTGAATTTACACTGTCTGAGGATGCGTACGCAAAAGGTTCATCTTTCCCGGCCCAATGGTTCTGGAGAGGAAGAATTTTTAAAGATTTTTTCACTATATATTCCTTATAGTATGTTAAACTTTGATTAGCAATTGCAGCCCCGCCCTTACCCCGGATTTCATGATTTAAAGAAATTTGAATTAATATTATCTAAGGATGCTTCCACATGAGTTTCATCTTTCCTGGCCCAGAAGATTTTTAAAGATTTTTCCTATATACTCAAATGTAAAAATATGACCATTATAGTGGTCCGCCCAACCCACGGGGGTCATGATTTAAACAAACTGGAATTTATACTACCTGAGGATGCTTCAACATAAGTTTCATCTTTCCTGGCCCAATGGTTCTGGAGAAGAAGATTTTTACAGACTGTTCCTACGCAGTATAGTTAAGGTTACAAAAAGGAGGCGGAGCTTAATTTGTACGGGAAAATTTAACTTTGTCATCATACAAAATATACGACACACAACAATTCTTTGAAATACCACAGAATGAGGCGATTGCTAATTTTACTTCCAATAAATCATCAAACAGCATCAAACTTTCTACAGCATGCTGTTTTGTCGTTAGCTTAATCCCACATAACAAGTTATAAACAAGTCACTAATCGCAAACAACTTGTCCGTGTAACGTCATTTCATAAAACGTGACGTACAGTTTGTATGCAGTGAGAGGCAGAGTATAAATATTTTCTTAACGCAAAATGTAATCTATAATCAAATAAAATATTATTTACAGATATTCTATATGCTATTACCCTGGATTCTATGTTTTTCTTCACGATTTAATTAATATATTTTCTGTGCATTACGTATTTAATTGAAACTGCAGTATATTTGTATGCAAGTACATCGGATGATAATGTGGGGGTCTTAATAAATAGATCTAGTACAAGGGCATACACTCAATGGATCTAAGTAAGCTCTCACAATTCAACTCTAGAAGTGTTAAGGTATCTGAAAAGTGTTGCAATCTTGATGAAATCTCGAAAATATGAAAATATTTATAAACTAATCTTTGAATTTTATCATGGTTGTTTCCTTGCACTAGTGAAATTTATAGGTTACATCAATACTGCAAGTAAATGTGTTAAACTCACGAGACTGCCGCATCACGTTACAAATCTAAATATAAAATCTAATCGTCCTGAATAGGAAGTTATTAATCATAATTACAATTATCCGATATAAATAATGTACCAAAAATAATCTTCATCCCAATTACAAAATATTGTTGATACTTTGATCAGCCATTATGGCCCCGCTTTACTTCCAGGTGTCATGATGTAAACAAACCTGAATCTACACTACCTGAAGATGCTTCCACATGAGTTTCATCTTTCCTTGCCCATGGTTCTGGAGAGGAAGATTTTTGAAATTTTTTTTCTATATATTCCTATGTAAAACTTAAATTTCTCAATAATTCATAATTATCTCCCCTTGGAAGAGGGCTTGACCCTTCATTAGAAGAATTCGCTACACCCAAGGATGCTCTGTGGCAACTTTGGTTAAAATTGACCCAGTACTTCTAAAGAAGAAGAATGTGAAAAGTTTACAGACAGACGGACTACAGACAAAATGTGATCAGAAAAGCTCACATGAAAAAGCATGCAGTTGCAAACATTTTATTGTCCTTCTTTCCTTTTTGTATGTTTGCAGGCATCACCACAAAAACGTCCTCTGAACTGTGTACCTTTTATCTTCTTTTTTATGTTTGAATCCTTTAACTCAAGAGACTTCTAAAAAACAAAACCCTTTGCTGCATTTATTACATGTAAAGATACATCACATTGAAAACTTAAAGAAATATGCAACTTTCATTTATTTTAGTAAAGATATTGAACGGTTCTTCTTTTCTATGTTTGACATTTTTATCTCTATATCTATGTTAATTTACTTCTCTAACATTGCTAGGAGTTAAGTACTCATGTGAAGATGCGACTGTGAAATTAAACGTATTTCAGATGTGTATAACAAAAATTATTGATTCAAACTAATAATGAAAAAATGTAATTTAAATCCTTTTATAAAATGATGCTAAAACAATTCCTTCAATTTCATTTCTTGAATACTTTTTTGAATAATTTCGTGACTCTTTTTTAAGCAAGAGGCACATGAGCCTTACAGGTCACCTGAGTATCATGTGACAACTTTTCAACAATTGATTATGATTCGTGTTTTAAACCAAAGGCAATGAAATTCACAATTTTGGAAAAGCAGCCTTATTCAACATAACTATGCACTTGGTTATTTTATTTAATATTCAAGAGCAGAGAAGATTTTAGCCCCGCCATGCCACTAGAACCCCTGACCCTGTGGCCATGAGATTCATAATTTTGTAAGAGGAAACCTTATTCAATATCAACTATGCACTCGGTTAGTTTATCTAATGCAAACGAACAGGGAAAAAGAATTTCAAAGAATTTATTCATTTTCACTATATAATCAATTTAGCCCCGCCCTGCCACCAGAACCCCTGACCATGAGGCCATTAGATTCACAATTTTGGAAGAGACAGCTTTATTCAACATAACTATGCACATGGTTAGATTATGTAATGCCCTAGAATAGAGAAGATTTTCAAAGAATTTATACATTTTTTCCTATACATCCCACTTAGCCCCGCCCTAGTACTAGAACCCCTCACCCCGGGACCATGGAATTTACAATTGCGGAAGAGGCAGTCATTTTCAACTCAACTATACACTTGGTTTGTTTATTTTATACCCAGAAGAGAAAAAAAAAGAGTTTCACAGAAATAATGCATTTTCACTATATTACCTGTTTAGCCTCGCCCTAGCACTATAACCACTGACCCTGGGGCCATGAATTTCACAATTTTGGTAGGGGACTCTTTTTGATTACAATCATACCAACCGTTTGACTGCTTGATGTCCAATTGTAAAGAAGAAGATTTTTAAAGATTGCAATAATTTTAGTGGTATTGGCATGAAGTTATAAGTGAGATGCTTTGTCTTGCAATGATATGATAAACATTTTTGATTAATTTTCAATGTAACTTTTAACTGAAAAAAAAAACTCAAAGACAATATTTTCTGAGTGTTTAGCCCAAAAATATGAAATCTGGTTCCTTTTTTCTTATTTACAAGACGTTTTTCGTATTTACAAGAGTACTGTGTACTTTCATGACTCTTCAAAACTACTCTATTATGGAATGCATGACGTCACGTGATGGAAGTAAAATTTTAAAAATACGTGCATATTGATGATTGCAGGTTCATGTAACACAGTTTGTAATACCATCATACATGTATGCACTGAGAATATAGGCATCGCTTTTGTGGTACCTTTTGATGAACTATAAATATAGACGTGGGAGTATAGACATCGGTTATGTTTTTTGTCAGTCTTTATGGATTTCCTTACCTTTTTGATTTTTCTTGCTTCTGCACTAGGAACTGTTTCCGTCATCACCGTATTCTGAAAATGTGTATGCATTTACTACATAATTCGTTTTTAGAAAATCTTTCAAAACTTTTATTAATTACTTAATAATTATATATATATATATATTACTGTATTCAAACAGAATGATTTTACATTTACAAATGCTAGTAAAGGAGAAAAAAAGTTACTCTGTACATTCTGAGAAAGACAGAACATATAAAGGTAAACAAGAGGCCCATGGGCCTTATAGGTCACCTGAGTATCATGCAACAACTTTCAAACAATTGAATTTGATTCTTGTTTTAATCCAAAAGCCATGAAATTCTGAATGAAGCACCATTGCTTATCATAATTATGCACTTAACTCAGCATTACTTTGGTTAGTAATACCCAGAGGTACATGTTGATCACAGTAACAAAGAGAAAATGCATTTCCACTTTATCATTATCAGTTGTGCACCCCATCCCACAGGAACCACTGACCCTGGGGCCACATCTTTCAAAATTTTATAAATCTTATTTCATCATGTTGTTGATTAATACCAAAGTGCAGATTTCAAAGCATTAAATCATTTTCAGTCACCCCCCCCCTCCTCCCCCCACCCAAGTACCTCTGTCCCAGAGGCCAGGAAATTAAGCATTCTTGGAAGAATCAGCGTTCTTCGCCATAAATATATACTAAGAGCAAAGGAAAAGACTTCCAAAGAATATATGCATTTTCACTATACAAACATTGGAGCCCCGCCCTAACACAAGAAGCCCTAGCCCAGGGGCCCTGAAACGCAGCATTGTTAAGGCTTGAAAAAGGGGTGGGGCCTAATTGATACGGGAAAGTTTACTGTGACGTCACACAAAAATATGACTTTTATGTATTTCTCATAATACCTGAAAATGAAATAATCTGCAAATTTTAACTTTATTAGCATATTAAACAACAATAAAACTTATCAATGCATTAAAAAAAACTTGCTAGTTAAATCCCATGCAGCTGGTTATAAACAAAGAACTGATCGCGAAGAACTTGTAAACATGACGTCATTTTGGTAAAAATGATGTATTTCATGCGCTGTGAGAGGCAGATTGAGGATTTTTTTAGCAATGGAAAATGCGTTTTATTATTAAACGGAATATTATTTACAGGTTTTAAACAGCCGATTAATACCACTGTATATCCTTTGTTTAGTACGATCATTCATTAACTATCATGAGCATGTATATTATTATTTATGACGTATTTTTATGTACAGGTTACGTATATTTTACAATGAGATGCCTCATAAAATCGTATTTTCGCAAGGGCATACACTGAATAGATCTTAACCATTTTTTGAATGTAGAAAAAGGATATTTTTCTTAACTTGAAAAGTGCTGCTGCTTTCTTTAAATCGAGGGTGTGATTTTATATGTACACAAAATATTTGGTAAAAGTCAAATATATTTCGACATTAGCTTACTTACCCGAAAATTAAACTATTAAAACGCAAATTATATTCAAAGCAGCAGCACTTTTCAGAAACTACAGAGTATGTAGAAACAATGAACAGCTTGGATTTTTAATTTCAACTAGGGTATGCCCTTGCTATATTGAAATTTGTTCATGACCTACATTCAGTTCACGAACTATGAATTCATAATGTGACTGTTCATCGATGGGACCAAACTTCATACAGTACAGAGTGGGTTATACTGTGCTGTTTCCATAATTATTTAAGTTTTGTGATAAAAAAAACCGGTTAATTAAAATAAATTCAGTTTTTTAAAAAAAATCCCCTTTTTTGGACGTCTATTTTTCCGTTGTTTTCTCATAGTAGGCCTTAACAGTGCTGCGAATTCACATATATCCAAGAGGCATCCTTCCTCCTCATAACTATGTACATAGTTCATTGGTTTAATACCCAGAAGCAGAAAAGAAGATTTTTAAAGAATTTATGCATTTTCACTATCTAAACAATGGAGCCCCACCTCAACACGAGAACCCCAGACCCTGGGACCATAAAATTCACAATTATGGAAGAGTCACTCTTACTCATCATAACTATGTACTTAATTAGTTTATTTAATACCAAGGAGCAGGGAAGAAGATTTTCAAAGAAATAAGTATGGGTTATTGTCCTACTACCTCTCCATTCCTTAAAAGTCATGGAGCCGAGGCCCCGCAGGGGCCGAGACTCATTAGTTTTAAGGAATGGAGAGGTACGAGGATATTGACCTACTTAAAATCCACCTTTCTGGAGCCCCAAGCTGTATTTAGATAGCCAATTCAAAGTAATGGAGAGGTCAGAAAATAATGGAGAGGTCATTTCTATTCATTACATGTATAGTGTGCTACCCAAATGACAGAATAGTGTTCATCACTGTTTTTAATAGCCAAGGTCAAAGTAATGTAGAGGTCAAAAAATAATGGAGAGGTCAATTCTATTCAATAACATGGAAGAAAATTCTGTTCCTCTTCATTTCAACATGCATTATCCGAGCAGCGATGAGGAAATCGTTTTGACTCAACAAAAGTACAAATCGCCAAATCCAAGTGAAAGTGAATATGACACAGATAACTTAGTAAGCGATATTTTGGGGCTCGAGAAAGTGCATAGAGACGCCCAAAAATCTGCAACATATGCACCACAATGCTCAGATATCAGTGATGATGAACTCGCACAAAGTTACGAAAAAGTTGAGAAAGTCCCACAGATTTCAGAGAGAAGATTCAGCATTCCAAAGTCTGATAAAGAAATAGAGGAACTAAAGACGAAACAGTATGTATTTATATTCATGTACCTTACTGCCTTAGTAATTTACTTACATTTTGAAATTGGGAGGGTGTGTAAATGAAATTTCCTAACGTTTTCGTTTTATTATATGAAATTGACTCCGTATGTACGCTATTAGTAAAACTCTATTAAAACTGCAATAAAATATTTTAAACCAAACCAATTATTCATGTTTTTTTCCGCATTTTTATTCAGATTTGCACCTGCGACAAAAGCCAAAATTCGATGGGCGGTCAACACGTTCGGAGAATGGCAGCGCTCCAGAAATGAAACATCCAAAACACGCTAAGATATTAGTCCTATACTGGTAGACATTGATGACATGAGTAAGGATGAATTGAATTACTGTATATCCCGATTCATATGTGAGGCTAGGACACTCGATGGTTCGGAATATCCAGCGGATACGGTTTATGCTTTTGTGATCTGTTTCCACTTTTACATGGATACTCTGGGACGAAATTATAAGCTTCTTGTTGACGACGAATTCTCTCAGATAAGAAACACACTAGATAATGTGATGAAAATGAAAGCCAAAGAAAATGTTGGGGGTGGAAAAAAGCAAGCTTTGCCGATCACTGAAGAGGAAGAGGAGATATTATGGTCAAAAGGTGTATTAGGGGATGACGACCCAGATAAACTCCTGAAAACTTTAGTGTATCTCTTCGGACTTAATTTTGCTCTACGTTTGGGTCAGGAACATATGAATTTGCGGCGAGGTGACAGGTCCCAGATATCAATTTGTGAAATGAACATGGGAAATTACTGACTTACACATTGGATGCGTCTTAAGCTAACCAGGGAGGCCTTAGCACGAGAATGTAAATAAAAAATCAGTGCAAGCCTACGAAAATTCACAACTTGCAAGCCGATGTATAGTCAAGCTATTTGAAAAATACATCAGTAAGTGTCCGCCTGTTGAAAAAAGCGATGCTTTATATTTCTGTCCACTTGAGAAATATACAGAAGATATGTGGTATGCAGCTTTACCAATTGGACGTCACAAACTTGCTTGTGTAGTCTCAACTTTGTGTAAAGAAGGGGGACTACATGGGTTCCGCGCAAACCATTCCTTGCGAGCATCTGCCGCTACACGATAATACCATGCTGGTGTTGATGAATAGCTAATATCAGAAGTCGCTGGCCATAAGTCAAATGCAGTTCGTTGCTACAAAAGGACAACATCGGACCAAAAACGCGCTTTAAGTGAGGTCATTCAAGGTAATAAAGAAGAAAACAAGAGCAGTCAAAAGTGCTCCAAAGCTGATGGACAGATGCACGTTACGGTAAACGTGTATTGTAAATAACTTTAAAATGTATTTAATTTCAGTTTCTACATTCCTGGCAAATTTATGACAATATTGTTTTGATTTCAGCTTGTACATTTATGATTAATTTATGACAAGATTAATTTGATTTCAGTTTGTACATTTTTGGTAAATTTATAACAAGATTAAATCCTGTGCATCTTTTTTATATTCTATTTCTATAATTGAAGGAATGGAGACTTATTGGTGTAAACTAGTTTATTGCAAATTCAGATTTAGAAATAAGTCTCCATTCCAGAAACAAAATAATGGAGCACTTGATCCACGAGTCTCCATTCCTGAAAAATAATGGAGCGATCAAACAAAGGAATGACGTAACAGGTGGATTGTAATGCATTTTCACTATATAATCAAAATAGCCCCGCCCTAACATCGGAACCTGACCCTGGGGCCATAAAATTCACAATTTTAGAAGAAGCAGCCTTATTCACCATAACTATGCACTTGGTTAGTTTATTTAATGCCCAGGAGCAGACAAGAAGAAAATCAAAGAAATAATGCATTTTCACTATATAATCTATATAGCACCGGCCTGCAACTAGAACCCCTGACCCTGGGGCCATTAGATTCACAATTTTAGAAGAAGCAGCCTTATTCAATATAACTGTGCAGTTGGTTAGTTTATTTAATGCCCTAGAACAGAAAAGAAGAATAGCAAAGAATTATTGCAATTTCATTATAAAAATCTAAATATGTCCCCGCCTAGCACTAGAACCCCTGACTCTGGGGTCATTAAATTCAAAATTTTGGAAGAAGCAGTCATTTTCAACTCAACTATGCACTTAGTAAGTTTATTTAATGCACAGGAGCAGAAAAGAAGAATTTCAAAGAAATAATGCATTTTCACTATATAACTTATTTAGCCCCGCCCTAGCACTAGAACCCCTGACCCTGGTGCCATGAATTTCACAATTTCGGCAGAGGACTCAATGCTGATTACAATCATACCAACAGTTTGACTGCTTGGTGTCCAGGAGTAAAGAAGAAGATTTTTAAAAACTGCACTAATTTTAGTGGTTTTGGCCCCATCCCCCAGGCCCCGGGGGGGGGGGAGGGGCAGGGACCATGAATTCATAATTTTTGTTCCTCTTCACCCATAGATACTAGATGCCAAAATTGGTTGAAATTCGTTCAGTGGTTTCAGAGAAAAAGCTGAAAATGTTCAAATGTTAACGCACGACGCACGTCGCACGACGACGGACGAAAATGGATAGCAATAGGTGACTTGACTTTACTCAGGTGACCTAATAAAGAAAACTAAAATGATAAATAATCAACCCCCCCCCCCACACACACACATTACTAAGGTAAGAAAAAAGTATTATTTGTTCAATCTTGATGATTTTGACGGAATAACGAACTTTTCAATTCTTTAGCGTTTTCTGCATTTCTGTTTTGAAGCACTTGTATATATCAAGCTGCTTTTTGTGTGTCACTTTACCTAAATGAGTTTAAGATTGAGATTAATTTTGTTCTGCTTCATTTACTTTTGACTTTTGATGGAATAATGCCACTTTTAATAAATCTAGATAATACTTATCGGTAGGGGTCTGAAAATTGCTTTTGCAATACCCTCATAATGCTTGTTTAAGATGTCATTAATTATGATTTGGTTTTGATTTTGCTTTACATTGATATTTTAGATTTCCTTCAGAACAAAAGTCCATTTCAATCATTCAGATCTTATACATTAGTATAAGTATTGTATCATTAATTGTTCTTAATCCTATTGCATAATAGGGAATTTTATATAGGACCTTTACTTCAGTGGTTTGATCTCTTAGTTTACTCTTAGATAACATTATACAAGATAAATAGGGGTAAACATATGTTAAAGGTAATGCTTACCTCCTCAACGTTTGAAGGCAAAAGTTCTAGCATGCATATTTGAACGTCGTCATTCTACATAAGAAAAAAATTAGAATATATATATATATATATATATATATATATATATATATATATATATATATATATATATATATATATATATATATATATATATATATATCAAAATTAAATCCAAGATAAACAAACAAGTTTACGTTTAATTTTTTACACTAAGCGCTTTCGCCGTTACGGCTCTTCAGAGTGTAACAGTCATAATAAAAACAATACAACTTCGTTGTTATGACGTTATTATGACGTCACAAAGGCAGCGTTATACATTGGCACAGGTAAATGTCAAAAAAGCGCCAAATGTATAGAGTTAAACACATGTACATTGTAATAAAATGGAACATTTCTTTAGAGCTAAAATGTTCAATTTACATTTAATTTAGGTTGAAATAATTTAACAAAATAATCTTCCTTGGCCCTCCGTAATTGTTCATTATCTTCTGTGATTTTATAAAACGGAAATATCAAAAAGTTTCCATTCGCACATGAATCAAAATGTTCACTGCAAGGTGTATTCCTGACGGAGGGGTCTCGTATTTGTTGTTTATGGACTCTTACACGGTCAGCTAGTTTGTTACCGGTCTGTCCAATATAGTCTTCCCCGCATGAAGTACAAGTCATACAGTATATTAAATTTCTAGTTTTGCATGACATATTCGCATTGACGGTAAACGTTTTACCACATTTAAATGTAAAATTTTCTCCGGTTTTTAAATAAGGGCAGGTTCCACACAGGGGATCCATACATTTGGCTACGGTGCGTTTTTCCTCATCCGATGAGAATCTGGCTCTTGTTAGGAGTTTCTTTAGGTTTGGAGGTTGGCGTCGGCTATAGATGATGCTCTTCGGGTCAATTAATTCCTTTAAATTTTGGGATTGCTGTAAAATAGGAAAACACTGTTTTACGGAGTTATATATATTAAGGTTCCGTGGGTTATGGGTAACGACCAGCGGGATTTCCTTATTGTTTTCCTGGCGTCCTCGTCTAGTAGAACGGAGATCTGCAGTCGGTATTGACTTGGCCTTTTCAATTGCTATATCTATTAAGTCGTTAGGATATTTTTGTCTGAGCAAAAATGTTTTCAATTCCTGTAGACGGCCATTTCTTCTGGTTTCATCTATGACAATGGTACAAAAACGTCTTGCCATATTAAAAGGTATGTTACGTTTAACGTGTGACGGGTGGCAAGAATTAAATACGAGATATTGGTGGGAATCCGTTTTCTTGTAGTACAAATCTGTTATGATTTTGCGACCCTCCTTAATTATAAGAATATCCAAAAAGGGTAGTTCTAACCTGCTCTTTTCCAAGGTAAATTTAATAGAAGGGTGTAGATTGTTAAGAATGGTATGGTATTCTTGTAAATCCTCAGTAGATCTCGTCCAAAAAATGAAACAATCATCTAAGTATCGTTTCCAATTAAATCGTATGTATTGCGCAAAAGGATTTCCAAATCGTCTCTCTGTTTCGTTAAACAGTTTTTCTTCTAAAAAACCGAGAACTAGGGTTGCATAGGTTGGAGCAACTTTCGTGCCCATCGCAGTTCCCTTAATTTGTAGAAAATTTCTCTCGTCAAAAACAAAATGGTTATTCTCTAATACTATTTTTATTCCTTCTAGAATAAAGTCTTTAGAAAATCTTGCGTGAATTTGATTGTGGTATTTGTCAATCCAAAAAGCGATTGCTTCTAGTCCAAGTGTATGTGGTATGTTGGTGAGAAATAAAAGTAATTTCAAACCACCACCTAATAGGGATAAATATTTAGATGAATTTATCAGATGTTTACAAAATTCCGCCAGAAGTAATGACATCTCTATGAATACCCATATTAAGGATAATATCACTAGACGGGAACGAGAAGCTATCAAAAGCCTTGCAAGTGATAATTCTATTATTATAAAGGAAGCAGATAAAGGGGGAGCAATTGTTATTATGGTTACGGATCATTACAAAGAAATGGTTTTGGACCAACTTAATGACAACAATTTTTACAAAGAATTAGTCTCAAATGAAGACAGTAAAACTATGCGCAGGATTAGGAAATTTACAAATAATTTTGCGGATAATTTAACCAAAAAGGAAGTGGATTATTTAACCAATTTTGAAATTAAATCTAGTAACTTTTATGGTTTACCAAAGATCCACAAATCCAAAGAAATACAGAACGGACTTGAAGGTAAAAACTCATTATATATAAAATTACCTCGACCAACGGATTTAAAACTTAGACCAATTGTAGCAGGCCCTGCATGCCCCACGCACAGACTCAGCAACTTGTTGGATATACTTCTAAAGCCTCTATGCCAACTTGTACCAAGTTATGTAAGGGATGATTTGGATTTTCTCGGCCACATTCCAGATACAGTTGAACTAAATACTGAGATGGTTAGTTTTGATGTAACGAGCCTCTATACCAACATACCACATACACTTGGACTAGAAGCAATCGCTTTTTGGATTGACAAATACCACAATCAAATTCACGCAAGATTTTCTAAAGACTTTATTCTAGAAGGAATAAAAATAGTATTAGAGAATAACCATTTTGTTTTTGACGAGAGAAATTTTCTACAAATTAAGGGAACAGCGATGGACACGAAAGTTGCTCCAACCTATGCAACCCTAGTTCTCGGTTTTTTAGAAGAAAAACTGTTTAACGAAACAGAGAGACGATTTGGAAATCCTTTTGCGCAATACATACGATTTAATTGGAAACGATACTTAGATGATTGTTTCATTTTTTGGACGAGATCTACTGAGGATTTACAAGAATACCATACCATTCTTAACAATCTACACCCTTCTATTAAATTTACCTTGGAAAAGAGCAGGTTAGAACTACCCTTTTTGGATATTCTTATAATTAAGGAGGGTCGCAAAATCATAACAGATTTGTACTACAAGAAAACGGATTCCCACCAATATCTCGTATTTAATTCTTGCCACCCGTCACACGTTAAACGTAACATACCTTTTAATATGGCAAGACGTTTTTGTACCATTGTCATAGATGAAACCAGAAGAAATGGCCGTCTACAGGAATTGAAAACATTTTTGCTCAGACAAAAATATCCTAACGACTTAATAGATATAACAATTGAAAAGGCCAAGTCAATACCGACTGCAGATCTCCGTTCTACTAGACGAGGACGCCAGGAAAACAATAAGGAAATCCCGCTGGTCGTTACCCATAACCCACGGAACCTTAATATATATAACTCCGTAAAACAGTGTTTTCCTATTTTACAGCAATCCCAAAATTTAAAGGAATTAATTGACCCGAAGAGCATCATCTATAGCCGACGCCAACCTCCAAACCTAAAGAAACTCCTAACAAGAGCCAGATTCTCATCGGATGAGGAAAAACGCACCGTAGCCAAATGTATGGATCCCCTGTGTGGAACCTGCCCTTATTTAAAAACCGGGAAAATTTTACATTTAAATGTGGTAAAACGTTTACCGTCAATGCGAATATGTCATGCAAAACTAGAAATTTAATATACTGTATGACTTGTACTTCATGCGGGGAAGACTATATTGGACAGACCGGTAACAAACTAGCTGACCGTGTAAGAGTCCATAAACAACAAATACGAGACCCCTCCGTCAGGAATACACCTTGCAGTGAACATTTTGATTCATGTGCGAATGGAAACTTTTTGATATTTCCGTTTTATAAAATCACAGAAGATAACGAACAATTACGGAGGGCCAAGGAAGATTATTTTGTTAAATTATTTAAGCCTAAATTAAATGTAAATTGAACATTTTAGCTCTAAAGAAATGTTCCATTTTATTATAATGTATATGTGTTTAACTTTATACATTTGGCGCTTTTTTGACATTTACCTGTGCCAATGTATAACGCTGCCTTTGTGACGTCATAATAACGACGTCATAACAACGAAGTTGTATTGTTTTTATTATGACTGTTACACTCTGAAGAGCCGTAACGGCGAAAGCGCTTAGTGTAAAAAATTAAACGTAAACTTGTTTGTTTATCTTGGATTTAATTTTGATTTATAACTTAACCTATACCATGGACTTCTACAACATTTTCCCTATATATATATATATATATATAAAATCCAAATTCAAATGATAAACTCAAACTTTTATCTAAAGCGCTTTCGCCCCATTCAAATCTACTGATGAGCCCGCATGGGGCGAAAGCGCTTTAGATAAAAGTTTGAGTTTATCATTTGAATTTGGATTTTATTTTTTCCCTATACCAAGGAAAAATAATTTTTTGAATATATATATATATATATATATATATATATATATATATATATATATATATATATATATATATATATATATATATATATATACGCTTATGAACATATATACCAGCTTTTATTTAAAAAAAAAATTTTAATTGAATGAATGTCGGATTTTATAAATGTATTCCTATATAAAAAGTCGGTAATATCAATAACCAAGGGGCTCTTGAATAACAGTTTAATTGGTCATTGGCTTAACATATAAAATAAATACATGTATATATGTTTCCCTGGCAAACATGGGCTTCAATACATCGAATAGGACGTATAAAAATAATATAGAAGTTCATGTCATTTTGCTGCCTTGGGCAGTTATATTTTTAAAGATGTTTTCGTATTGCCTCGTTAATTCGTCGTTTATGGAAATTTGAAATGGATTGGGAATTGGAGGAAAGTAACATACTTTCAAACAAATATAAGATTTAATGAAGATAATCTCATGTTGATTAAGTGTACATATATAGACCTAGTCTTTATTTCTGACATGCGTTCCAAGCGTAGCTTTTGAACAGATAGCTATCCTAGCAGCTACGTAGGGAAATGTAGCACAAACAGTTATTTAACATATTGACGAAAAAAATATTTACATATACATATTTATCTGAAATAAACCTTTTTGTACTAAATATATTTTTCATGATTTTATTTTATTCGAAAGGACTATATTTGGTAATGACCAACTTTTGCCTCAAAAGTCAAATTTGAAGAAGTAGTATGTAATAATGTTCTAATTCAGAGGATATCTGCAGATTTCAAAGCACTGGATATTTTCACAAGAAATGACGACACATGTTTATTATGACGAAAGGAAAATGATGTTAATTTCAATTTTTCTTGATTTCTGCAGAAAAAAATATATAACAATGATATTTTGAGTAAAACCCACCCAGCAAAGGTTCATCTCAATCGAATATTTTTATGCAATGTGTAGAATGATAATATCAATTGAATATGTGAATTTTGTTCTGGAGCAAGCCTGCACGCTATAATTTTCAAACAATTAAAATTAAGCAAATTTTGTCAATTTTTTTCACTTTTTGAAAAATAACACAAAATCTTAATAGTTTGTGACGTCACAAAAACAAGAATGGTCAATTACCAAATATGAAACAATAGTTTCTTTGTTAAATAATATTTCTCATACAATAATAAAACTCAGCACATTTCAAGAATTTTTCAAAATTTGACTTTTGTAAGATCAAAAATATCCAATATACAGCATATATCTCTTCTTAAACTTTTAATCGCTAAGTTAGCTGTCTGTTCAATGGAGATGGATATAACTATGAACGTGTCTCTTAATTGCGTAATACGTAGCATCTTACCATTCCCTAATATTTACGCTGATTACTATTCTCTTAATTATTTTGATCATGGTAAATTATCAAATGCAGTTGTCTCTTTTCAATTTATCAGTTTCTTTTAAAGCATGAATATGTAAGAAAGAATAATTAGAAAGTCTGTAAAAGGTTTGACATACATGTTCCGTTACTGAATCAAAGTTGGAATTTTCCTCTGTAGAAAAACAGCAACATTCCTTTCCTGAAAAAAAAAATATTCAAAATATAATTTGCAATAAATCCCTTTTAAATTGACAGTTCAAAATTTTGTCATAAACTACTACCTTTCCTGTTCCTGAATAGCACTAAAAATATTGCGAGAGCCCCTGCTAAGATACACATCCATGCAATAATGATTGCCAAAATCAATGTTTGTTCTTCATCACTGTTTCCATCGTTCCCATCATTTTCTATACTGTTGGATCACATTCAATGATTATAAAAATGTATTGCATACATTAATTCTATAATCAAAATTACTGTATTACGGAAAAGATTAAACAAGAGACCGGTATTAAAATTTTTTTCTTTTTTTTTTTCTCAAACTTGGCATACCTAGTTTTATTTTCTGTATCTGGTTCAACTGTTGTTTTTTGATAGCCTCGCCGCTGCACTAGTGCGTAACATTCAGGATCTGATGAAAGCAATAGTAAGGGTTTTTATGCCCCCATTAACGAAGTTTCGGGGGTATATAGTTTTTGTCTGTCTGTGTGTCTTTCTAGCTGTCTGTCTGTCTGTCCGCAAAAACTTTAACCGTGCCTATAACTTTTGATTTAGTGTAGCTACGACATTTATATTTAATATGTGTATTCCTTGTGACAAGACTTTTCTTTGGGTCTCACCAAAATTGACCTTTTATCCTTGCCCTTGGAGTTTGACCCAGTTTAACACAAATTGTTTTAACTCTTACTTATACCATATCTTTTGAACATTAGAAAGAAGGACATTCATACTTGACATATTTATTCTTTGTGCAACGACCTTTCATTAGATACAAACAACCTTAACCCTTTGACCTTGACCTTTGAGATTTCCGTACCTATGAAAAAACTTTAACCTTGGCTATAACTTTTGGACAATAAGAACTAGGGCTTTCATACTTCACACACATAATTCTTGTGAAAAGTACTTACATTGGATACCAAGATCCTTGACCCTTTGACCTTCACTTTTGAGTTTGACCGACTTTAAAAATACAACATTGATCACAATTTTTGAAGGGTTAAGACTAAAGCATTCATACTCAAAAATTTAATCCTTGTGACAAGATCTTTCATTTGTTATCAAAAACTAAGTCTTGACCTTGAAGTTTGACCTCCTTTTTACAAACCTTGCCCATAACTTTTAAACAGTAGGAGCTAGAGCTTTCATATTTCACATGTGTAATCCTTGTGACAAGAGCTTTCATTGGATATGACGAATCCTGGCCCTCTGACCTTGACCTTAGAGTTTGACCTACTGTTTACAAACTTTAACCTTGGCCATAACTTTTGAACGGTAAGGGCCAGCGCTTTCATACTTCCCATACGTAATCTTTGAGACAAGTCCTTTCTTTAGAAACCAACAACCTTAACCATTTGACCTTGACCCGCAGTTTGTCCTATCTTATAAAATGATAACCATGGTCTTAACCCTGGAACAGGTGTGGCTTACGTTTTATATTTCGCATTACTTGCGAAAAGGCCTTACTTTTGGTACCAACATATTTGATCTGTAATTGAGAAAGCTTAACCTTCGCTATGTTGCCATACGGGCCGGGGCATCAGTGTTTCACAAACACATTTTTTTTTAAAAATGTGTTGATGAATTCACTGTTGTTTACAAATGTAAGTTCCCCCGAAAGAATATCTATTTGCAAATACGTACATGCAATTATTTATTCATTTTTATATTTTTCATATTTATTTCATTTGACCTATTTTGCTCCATTGATTTCAAATTTGTAATTAAGTTTCGAAATCCATTGGTACAAAACAAATTGTTTTCATTAGTAACATTACCTTTGCCCAACCTTGTATCAAAATTTGTGAATCGTTTTTAAATCTTCATTAAACTAACATTCTTCTAAATTGGATTGTTTCATGTTTAGAAATGGCAAATTTGAACAAATTTGGTAACAATATTCAATCCTTGCCATCTCTTTCCCTTCTTGCAATGTCATTTACATGTACTCACATTTGTAATCGACCTTACAGATTTTGGAATTGTGTTCTTTGAATGTGTTTTGCTTAGTTCTTCCTAATTTCTTTATTGTAAATTGATGTAATTATGCGCCCGGATCGAAAGATCCGAGGCGTATATTGTTTTTGTCCTGTCTGTCTGTTTGTCTGTTTGTTTGTCTGTTTGTCTGCAAACTTTAACCTTCGCCATAACTTTTGAACCATGAATGATAGAGAGATCATATTTGGTATGCCTACTCCACTAATGAAACTCTTTCAAATGACACCAAGGTCAATGACCTTGTGACCTTGACTGTGACCTTTATGTTAAAAATAGAGGTTTTATTGCAAACTTAAACCTTAGCCATAACTTTTGAACCATAAGAGATAGAGATTAAATATTTGGCCTGCTTACTCCACTAATAAAGCCCTTTCACTTGACACCAAGGTCAATGACCTTGTGCATACTTCGCTAATCAAGATCTTTCAAATATCACCAAGATCAATGACCTTGAGACCTTGAATGGGTCTTATATGCTAAAAATAGTTTTTTTTTAACATTCACCATAACTTTTGAACCATGAAAGATAGAAACTTCATATTTGGTATGCATACTTCACTAATCAAGGTCTTTCAAATGACATCATGATAAATGACCTTGTGACCTTCACTGTGACCTTTATGCAAAAAATATGTTTTTTAAATTTGTTGCCGCCGGGCGCATAGTGTTTCACAAACACATCTTGTTTTTAATGCCCCTGATAATAATTTTTTTCTCATTCTTAAGATAATTGTTATAGCAGCAAAAAATTAAAGTTGACGGACTTATCGAAAGTTAAATGTGAGTGAGTTTGTACATGTATGTGAGTCAATCTAAGAAATTTGTTAATTTAATTCAGTTTTTTAATGAAATGCATTTTGTGAATTTAATATTTTTGGATCAGTTCTGATCTCTGCAGAACGTTTTATCATTTGTACCAATATTACTATCTAGTATTACCTTTAAAATGTTCAATAAATAGAGCTCTTGATTTTAGCTTCAATAAGTAGGATATCGGAATAATGTTCATAACATATATGAAACAAAATAACAATTGAGGGAAAAAATATTATTGAAGCCATACAGACACTGAAACATTATAAAGTGAATGGCTTTGTATATACAGAGTCTAATTGTATTTTTATGAAGAAAAAAAATGAGGCCATTAACCCATGCATTGTGTATAAAGAACATGTAAATAACACCACAAAAAGATTCCAATTATAAGCAGGAACAATACGTTCTTGTTTTGATTTTTTGAAAAAAAATATTGTTTGAAGACACAACAAATTTAATATTTGTGGCTTTCACTCTAAGCCATTTTCCAGAAAATTAATGTAAATTTTCAAGCCTTTTTGTTGTAATATATGTCTAAGAGCATTTAAAAACTTGAGTGGATATGTTTTAAGTAAAAGTTCCTTTTTTATTTCTTAAGTATAGAAAGGAATTTTTTTTACGAAATCGCATCTGAATGTATTGCATATAATATCTATATTTCGCCTCTCACATATTAATAACTAGCTAGGTTATCTAAGTAAATTAAGGTCTTTGTGAAAACTTAAATTAAAGAGACAGGCGAAACAATGATCGAACAGTTTCAAATTAGTGTTTTAGATTCTCATCTAACAATTAATAGCAGCAAATGAAAATACTCTAGTGTAAATTATATATACATAAAGAAACTACTTACGCTTGTATCCCTCATAGGAAAAATACGGTTCAGTGCATGGATTAGAGGAAAAATTGCTACAATCTGCATCATAATTTCGTTGAATTACAGCGCCTATGGCATTGAATTCACAACAGTAACCTTAAAATTATATAATAATAATTAAAAGTTTTTAAAACTTATGCCAAATCACATTGTATAATTATATTTAGCGCAATAAATATGTTCAAATTAACCTTAAAAAGTCACATTGAAATATAGTGTATTAATTTTAATTGCATCATTAATGGCAGGATATCTTATACTACTTGTAGTATGTTTTGGAATTTGACATATTTCTTTTTGCTCACCCGTAATAAATGCTGATGGAGCACAAACTTCTATTGTTTCATTGAGGTAAGAATTGACAACGCAGTGATACATGAATTTGAAAGAATCTGTGCAAGACTGATTATAATCTTCACATTTTTTTCTTGTCGCCATTGTGTTCCATTCAGCTAATGTTTCTGGACATTTTTGGACTCTTTTCATTGTCTGCAGAGAATCGGGACAGTAAGAAACTACTGTATAGAAAATGGCCTGTAAAAAGAAATAATATTGACCAAAAAATTAATTCAATGCTAATTCATATAATATAATAGAAACAATCTCAGCAATACACGTTAAAACAATTTGACAAAGTGCAAATAATATAAAGCTTTTGTATTAAAAAAATATATACTTATTTGTACAATATATATTTAATTAACATCAATGATAAGGAATTATAATGCCTTTATTTCATATTTTGTTTTATTGTACATTACGCTACGATAAAGAATTGTCGAATGGGGGAGAGAATGTAAATACATTGAAATTTAAATTACTGTAAATCACTTTTTATTCGCGAAAATTTAATTCCCACGTATAATAGTATTCCTTAAGAATATACAGAGCAATAACCACAATTCGCAAAAATTTTATCTCGCTAATCAAGAGTCAATGACTATCTCGCGAAATTAAGATGTCGCGAAAAATTTTGTGATCTACAGTATTAACCTTGAATAAATAGTAATTTAATTTGTGGTTAAATTCAGAAAAACGGCCGATCAGATTAAACATGACATCCGACGAGATTTAAACACATTTGGAAGCAGAGTAAGATTAACAGATTAAAGCTGACATGAATTCGTAAAAACGCAACATTTTCATCGATGTACGACTTGTTTCATACCAACTATAGCCGTATACCGCCATGTTTCTTTCAGATACCTTGTCTCATTGTATCGATATATACCCCTAAGCGCTCGTTACACTTGAATGATTTTTTGGTTTGGGTATCGACTTGTGCACATCTCCGATGGTAAAGCATATGAGAACACATGAGGTGATCAAGACATTTCAAAACAACAATAAAAAACATAATAATCATATTTCTGAATAATTATTCATTTGAATCAAAAGTAAAAAAAAAAGTTTGGAAGAGAAATTTAGATGCACGAGTACGTTTTTTTTACAGTGCGCCAATTTATGCAGAATAAAATTGAAATAAAAAGCAGTAAAATCCGCAAACACATTTTGAAAGTATTATCATTTGAATGGAACAAAACAACCAACGTCTTTGATCAGCAGGTCCTATGCAATTGATGCATAACGAGAAAACGCCTCGAACGCTGTAAACGTACCCATACTTGGTAATATGTGGTTCGAAGATGTGCACGAGTCAAGTTATATAAACCCTAAATTCCATTTATTGACATATGCATCACAAAAACGAAATTAACATAAAAGCTCACTAGTAAACACAATGCAATTACTCCGTACAGACTAGCACGTCGATATACTTAGTCCGTGCTGATAAGATTTTAGTCAGGGAAAATATCACAAGTGGAAAGAGAAGTTATTTGGTATTTTGGTATTTGGGTGGCTGAGGGGGGGGGGGGGGGGGGGGGGGGGGTAAAGCATTATATGTATAAACTGCTGTTCATAAGGTTTAACTGTTAATTGTCTATCTACATGTAGTTCTGATATACATTCTATACAAAGTCATATATATAGTCTGCAGTTGCTTTTCGTCGCAAAATTCATTTTTCAATTATAAATGATCATATTAGTACTAATTTCAAATCTAAACCAATTGATTTGATGTACGGTAATTATTTACTTCAAATATTAAAATCAATTAACCAGAATACAAATTATGTGTACATCTATACGTTCTTTAACACACACACGGAGAAAGGCCACCCCCCGTTCAGATTGATATTTAGGCATTTGAGTTTTATATGCGCGGGAGGGGAGGGGGGCTTGCAAAAATAATTAACATGACCGTTATTTGGAAGACAGACAGTTCTGCCGTATTCACTTTTTTTTTTAAAATGTGTCACTCCGGCCACATATTATGTGCAATCTGAGGAACGTAACTGTTTTATATTATGTTGTTACAGGAAGTCTTTCAAGATTTCAATATCCCTGCCTGACAGTCTAGCTATGTTTTTATATAATAATAATTTCTGTAGGAGTATTTGGGAGATAATTTTAAAAGCTAGGGTAGGGATACTTTAAATCAGGTTGAATACGGATAATTTAATTTACTCTTCTGTATACTGAACTCTCTCCAACCATCCGTTGGTGCAATAATAGGTATGAAATTCTACGCACTTTGTGCTGTACCATTTATTTAGCCTTAGGACAGATCAACGATTTTTTTTCAGGCGGGAAATTAAATTAAATACGAAATTTACTTTTGACAAGAAAGTACCCTAAACGCCAAAATTGAAAGAGAAACTAGCGAAATTGTGATCAATGAGCTCACTGAATGGTATCCCCGCCTCCCACATGGTTATAATGGCAAAGTACATATTTTGCAGTTGTTGCTTAACCCAAAATACGTGTCGGATCAAAAAGTAAAATAGGATGTGCACAATGGTAATATGTTCTGTTATTAACTTCAGATTCTGTGAAAGTTTCATTAAATTTCACTCAGTTGTATAAGAGAATTTGCGGATAAGAGATGGGTAACCCTAAAAGCGTAACAGACAGACGGACGGACAGACGGACGGACATAACGATTACTATATACCCTCTAGCTTTTCAAGCGGGAGGGGGTGTTATAATAAACGTGATATATATAATCACAGGAATGTGAACATTGGGAACTTTCTCAAATACCTTCTCAAACCAGTCGAACCTGGACCTGGACAACAGACAAGAGTATTTTTGAAAGCTAATTTTAGGTAGAATATGGAATTCTCACGGGGAATTTGATCTCTCTCCCTATAAAATGTGTTTATTCACCAATCAAGGGCCCTAGGGGGCATGAACAAATTATTACATTGATTACACTGATTACAATTGCATATTATAGATGTATAATGTACATGTAATATTAGGTTTGAGATGGAGAAGTGCAATACCACAAGTTGTATCATCATGAAAAAATAGGATTTATTAAATATTCACAGTACAGTCTCACACATATTTCACATTCTAATCTGAATATACATAGTTGCATACCCACATACACAAACATACACTTACTGTTACACATATCCTTCGGCTAATGATAATTAATTATTTATGTCTAGAAATTTAATTCATATTAAATTCTATTTTCATTATCACTGTATTACAGAATCATCTCGTTTATTAAACATGTACCCATCGCAACAATTTGCGTGAGGTATAATGTTTTTGGCCCGTCCCTCAGTCAGTCAGTCAGTTCTGTTCTTTTTTTTTTTTTTTTTTTTTTTTTTAAGCGCAGCTCCTCATAAACCACTGCACAGAATTTTGTCAAACTTTGCAGATATTTACAGATTTGCACATCACCAGGAAATTCCAAATTCTATATTTCTTTTTTCAAGAATTTCTCGTTTACATTTAGATTTTCGCCATATCTTGAATATACTAGAGATGAGCAGTTTGTCAGCGCAACTCCTCATAAACCGCTGCACACAATTTCGTCAAACTTTGCAGATATTTAGGACACATTGTGTATAAATGTGCATATAACAAGGAAATTGCGATTCCTTTATTTTTGTTTCTGGGAATTTCAGCACTTCGACTTTTGGGGGAGCGTTGGGTGTGTGAACTCGCTCACTTTTTCTTTCATTGTGCGTAAAATTATTAATAACTTTAAATCAAATTATATAAGGTCTAATAAATTAAGCAAATACACAGTATTTATTTGATAATAATTGATCATAAAGAAATCCAATCTGTTACAGACTTTTTTCTTAAATTATTTTTGTGAGAGTGTTATGCATGTTTTACTACACCCCCCCCCCCCCTTCTTTCACAGGTAAATATCTTCAAAAGGTGAATGATTCGTAATAATGCATGCTTTATTATAAATTTGATGAAGTTAAACCATGTAATCATAAATTTTATTCACAACATTTACAGACAAGAGTAATGTTTCTTTTTTTAAAAAAATTATTTGCATTTTTTTCAAACCAAACTGAGCTATCAACCTTTGATATTTTTCCGGACCAAATAATGATTGGCATGGGTCACGTGTGTACAAGCATCTTTTACTGTTGAGTTAGCAATGGATTACATGACTTCTGCATTTTTTCAATAAAAGTAAAATAGGATAATTCTTTCGACTTGTGCACATCCCTGTAACGATAGCAGTTTTCAGGTAAATGTTTTTATCACTACATTTGACGCGTTTTTTCGACCTGCATGGATTTTTGCTGTACATGAATGTGTTCCGTGTTAGTGTATTTTTATATTGCAGCAAATGCATTGAAAAAAAAATTAATTCTCGGTATACTTTTTGTTTTTGTTGAATTTTTACTTTTCAAACATGTACATATGTATTTGGTCAGTTTATGGACTTCTTCTAAAAATCATGCTATCAGAGATGTGTACATGTCGACAGCCAGGCTAGAAAAACACTCAAGTGAAACAACTACACAAGGCTATAAATAGCAGGTACAGGTGACCAAAATTTTTCAAAGAAATATGGCGGAATCGAAGAAATATGGCGGACAAAGGCGTACAGGAATGTAGTAAGTCGTACAGAGATGAAAAATAATGCCTTTTTAAGAGTTCATGTCAGCTTTAAATTACAGTGTATTGTATATCGACTGGTCAGACAATGGACCTTTACTACACATGCATGTAATTGTCCCTTTTAAACTAAAAGGAAACTATATACATACATATACTTACAGTGACACATTTTAGTGACAAATGATATGCTTGCGTTAAATTCAGGTTTTGTACAAAGAATATACTAAGTCTTGTAGACAAAAAGTTCTTTTGATACCCATTATGATACAAAAAGAATTAAAAAGGAAGATAATATTCTAAATGAATATTTTTAAACGTAACAATCATCCGAATTACCTCTGACTCTGATCCCTGCTTTATATATTGTGATATGTGCAAAGAAGAGTCAAAGCGGAGGCTAAATTGAAAAGTTGGAATTCAGCGACATAAGCTGGTGTCACGACTTTACTTTCCTTACACATTTATTTCCCGGATTTGAATTCCGAGACGCGGAAACGCAGAAACTAAAAGGGGGGATTCCTCTACAAATTTATCATTATTTATAGAATGCTATGGTCATGAAAACGGCGGTTAAGCCGACAACTGAAGCATCACTTGAATTATGTCGCCTCCTTTGACTTCTTTGCACATGAAGTCAGCACAAAAATCGGTTGCACAGTCACACGTTGTCAATACACGTGTGGACCTTTTGAAAAAAAAAATTAAGAGTTGTGAAAAGAACTTAAGAGCCATTCTCTATAAGCACCAAACTTTGATGGAAAGCCATAGTCACCGATTTTAATAAAACTTTGGTAAATGAATACATACTACTAGTCAAGTATACTGGTATATGCAAAATGTTGGGATACTGCTGTTTCCATGGAAACCAGCAAGTCATACTTTTGTCACATTTGCTATTATTTCCTTTATAATGTATGTGGCTGAAACTCATAAATGCAGCAAAAAAATTCAACAAAACAAATCCTGTAAAAAGATTATAGATATATAAGTTAATCTTAAAAAAATTGGAGGTGTGTTATTTGAAATAAAGAAAATAAAGCCTTGTAAATTTGCTATTTTTCAAGAGAAAAGTGCTAAATTTTATCAAGAGTTATTTCCATTCGTGTAACTCTTTTGTGTTTCCTGTGAAAAAAGGAATGTTTTTTGCCAGCAGAAGACTTTCAGAATGGTTTGCTACTTCGTTTTTACTACAAATTCCACTTGTCAGAAGATGTATTTGATTTGAATTCAGTTGAATTGAATGATAAGGACATAATACTAACAGAATGTGGTATTTTGCCGTCCAGTTCTGAAAATAGGCAAATTTGTACCACACATTTTTCTCTGCCTTTGAAACAAAACAGTGATTGAGTGATGTACAAAGAAGGAATTAGGTGTCAAATGCCATTCCTTATATAAAAAAAATCTGGTGAATCATAATGTTTCCATGAAAAGCAGAAATCCAACAGACCGATCCCAGTCAATGGTCACAGGTGTACTCAAAATACACAGAGGCTAGAGGACTTGTTCTTCCTGGAACCTGTGAGAATTGTACAGTCAGTGTATACTAGTATGTGTAATGGAATATTTATTATTTTAAAGTGCACATTTCTGTCTTTGAATAATTAATAACATATTTAATGTTTAAACAAATGTTGATTGAAATTTTGATGAAAAAATGGGGTAGGGGATGCTTAGATTAAGCATATAATACTTTATAGAGAACTATATTATAACAATATATTACATGTATGTATGAATTACATGTATATATCTTTTTGATTATCTGCTCAAATATACTTAATTAAATTTGAACTTTTAGCTCTATGCACCAGCCTGTCTTGTGAAGTTGAATGCTACAATTTGTAAAACAATATGAAGAGTAAGAAAATCTAGCTTACAATCAAAACACAGAAAATATGATCAGGTTTGTAATTTATTATTCATTGTGCAAGCTATAATTCACAGTTTAAATTGTCATTTAGAATTTTCATAATAATAATAAAAAGTTTAAAAGTAAACAGGAAACATATTGGAATAAAAATGTCTTTAATGAAAAAAAAAAATATACAAGACATCATCTAACAATGATTACAAGGTTATTGTTACATACCTGGTCTATTGGAAATATAGTAATCAAAAATAAATTAATTTACATTGAATAATTCAATTTATTTGATCAAATATTTTAGCATTATATATGTTATGTGTATTTTACAAAGTTCCAGGAAAAACAATGTTGTAACAGTAAACACTATGTTTTTGTCATTACAGTAGAAGGGATACTTATTGTGCTTATTTATTTTAGGTTCAGTCACACCTTATAAAACACGAAGAGCTGCTTCATTCAAGGCCATGATATGTTATAACAGCTGATTCAATGAAAGAGGTACTAGATCTCCATGCAGGAGAAATGCCAAACCAGAATTTTAATAGATCTTTTCAGACATCCCTTTTAAACTATGCCAGTGTCAGCCTTGAGAGACCAATATTAGCTCTTAATCATTTTATTCAATTTATTGGACATTTTTCAGAGAGAATTATTTTTGGTTTATATGGTTTAAAATTTGCTGTTTATTAATAAGTAAAAAATATGAAAGTCTATATTGCATGGTTAAAATCTTCATAAAACTATTGTCACAACTAAGATGAACAATTTTAGTTGTAAGTCATATTTAAAAAAAAAGAAATGAAATTAATAAGCTAAATATCTAAGAATTTTTTTTTTGATATTTGACTAATTTTGATAAAATTTATATAATCACATGGATGATTATCAAATTAAAAACATAGACATAATTTTCTGGCTTTGTTTATGTATATTAGCTACTACTAAGAATTTCATTTGGTTGTCAAGGTCATTAACATTTTAACCCACATTACATACTATTTTATTTCAACATTTTTTGTCTTAAAGATCTATGAAACAAAATTATTATGAGGCATATTTTCTCAATTAATTAGCACTACGCTGTATTAACCAGCACTGGTGAAGTTTAAACAGGATTCTAACACGATTATTGAAAACATCAAAGAAAACCGCCGGACATTATTCTCCAATAAATCACGAACGTCATCAAAAAATTATCAGATCAGAAACACGTATCAGATTAAAACAATTCAAATGCATGTTTGGCTGTAGAATGAAATATTTGTTTAGACCGCATCGATGTGTCGTCTTTGTAAGAAATAAACACGGTAAATTTCATAAAGTTTCTGATAAAGTCGGTCTTTATAGCTAAGCGGGGCTATTCCACGGACCTCCCTACACATTAAACAACGTGATTTTAGCGGTAAAACAGGAACATGATTTTGTAATTGTATATTCGTTTTAACTGATCAATACATATAACGAACAAATTTGTATTTTTGAAAAAGGCTATTTTTAATGTAATGAAAGCTCAGACCATCTGCATTCCAAACACAGGTAAGCAAACAAATTTTACCTCTAGTGTTAAATGGAACATCATAATCGAGACATGGTGACCTAATTCGTTTCTCTATAGAGGAAACGATCAGCCGTATTTATCGATCTTCGTAGAATAGAAATAAAGTCCTTGTTGTCGTGAATGATGCAGAATAACCTCCTCGGTCTCGAAATGTTGTTTGAAATATAAAAGCCTCGGCTAACGCCTCGGCTTTTATCTTTCAAACAACATTTCTCGACCTCGGAGGTTATTCTGCAACATTCACGAAAACGCGGACTTTATTTCTTAAATAACAGATTTGATTTTAAAAGATATGTGAGCCAATACACAATAGTAATACCCTCGCTCTGATGTGAATATATACTATCATCATGTTAATATTATTATTACACAAGTTTAGTAACAGGCAGATTTTGGGAAATAGTAAGATTACAGAAATGAATTTAATTCTGCCATATTGCATGCCTCAGCAATGAACGTGCTCAAGTTTCAATCATCTGCAATGAGTAGTTGCTGAGAAAGTTGCTATAACAATTTCTTTGGTATGGTGCAAAAATTTCAAGCATCTGAGATGAGTAGTTGCTGAAAAACTGCCACCAAAAAAGTTTGCTACTGACAGACGCATGGACAGACAGACAAATAAGGATAAAACAATATATCACCCTCTCTTTGAAGCGCATGGGGGGATAATAACTACATTCATTTATATAATAATACTTTCAGCTTCATGGAAAATATTACATGTATTTTTAAATAATTTATAACTTAAGGTCAAGATCTAGTAAATGAAAGGTGCCTACAGATTTATCAAATTTGAGAAATAAGTTCCTTTATTGATACTTTACAACTTTAGTTTGGTCAGATAAGGTGTTTCGGGGCATAATTTGTTGGTAAACAAGATCGAAAACTGTATCTTAAACTGTCATTTTCAATGAAATATTAAGAAAAGCAGTCATGAATATGGGAGTTTTTTCGTATTCGGCAAAGGAAATGTACCCAGATTGCCTACAGTCTCTCAGAAAACGGTAATAAGTATGTTCATGGCCTCTTCTTTAAATCAATATCAAATTTAATATAGGTATCCGGTCTACTTTTCATATGATTTCAAATTGAATGACATGAAAATACCCTATTTTCTACATAATTCTGCTAAAGAAGTAAAGTACGGGAAAAAGAAAGTTGAAATTGATTATGACGTCATAATGGATCTAGCACCAAAAAAATAGTCTCAAGTTATTTACCAGATCTTGACCTTAAGATTTCATTTTTGCATATTTTATTATTTTTGCAGGTTATTGAACAGTCTTTGAAAACTGTCAAGTGAAGAGTCAGAGTGGTACCGGTTGCAGATGCATGCACAGAAAATGACGAAAAAACTCTACTGAAACCATGGCTTAGATATCAACCTAAAATAACTTCTCTTCTCAATTATATCTCTTTCCCATGTATTCCAAAAGAGGATCTTTTTCAAATTCAAAGTCAAGTATCACAGGGATCATGTGAGATAGTGAAACAGTCTGCCTACAAAAATTAATTAAAAGGGAGGAAAACATCAACACATGTACCACAGATGGTTGCACACTATTGTTCTCTATATATTTTCCCTATGGTTTTCATGTACAGTCTTCTGTGTGATTGTTAAGTTTGGTGTAGTAGTAGACTTCTCCTAACATTGTTTAGAATTTTATTATTTAAATTCTGATGTAAAATCCTGTTTTAGTGTTCATTCAGTTATAGTAATGGGCCACTCTCCTTGTGAACAGATTGATGTCAAAATATCTTTAAACATTGAATACTTTTCAAATTGTTTTAATCGAATTAAAACATATGTATCATATTTCCAAAACCAGATTTGTTCTTTTTTTTCTTTTCAAAACAACCACTTTTGTATGAAATGTTTTGCTACTCAAAGAAATGAACTGTATCAATGAATGTACCTGTGAAATATGGAAGCACTGGCACAGTCGTTGCTATAGGTTAAATGTGAGTCAGGCTCCAAGGTTAAGGTGGAAAGGTGAAATAGAAGGTACAAACGAAAAGAAACAAGAAACACACAAGTGAAATATTTAAGTCTTGGTACCAATTGCTATGAATATGTTTAATACTTCTCAAAAGTACATCAACATCCAAGATCAAAATATCTATATTGTTTGTTTGTTTGGGGAGGCCTTGTTGAATTGAATACACTTATGAAACATGAAGGTCCTAATAGTAACTGCAAGCTCAAAAGTTATTCTCAAGGTTAAAGTGGGTCAAATTCAAAGTGAAGGTCAAAAGGTAAAATATATATTTATAAATTCATATATCCATGCAAAGGACTTGTCACAATAACGTATGAAAGCCTTAGCACAAAATTTCACGCGTTGTAGGCAAGGTAAAAATTGGTTAAATTCCTCCAACGTCAAAACATTAAATAATTTGGTACACAATGAAAAATCTTGAGGGAATACATAAATCATGTTGAATATGAAAGTCATAACCCCAACATTATAATGACAATCAACATTTTGCGGACAAACAAACAGAATGGTTGAGAGGGCAAAAACTACATGTATATACCCATATTCTTTGATTACTGGGGCAATAAACATGTAAAACACATAATAAACATACCCCATAAAAAACATCTTTATCAAAGAAAAAATATTGAAAACATTTCAATCTTATTTTGTCTTTCTGCTGTCAAATGAAAAATACAGATGTATGCTTTAGTTCATTAAATTATCTAAACAGCTGTTGAAAGACTTGTTGCTAAAACAAATCATCATGGCTATTTTCATGGCAACTACTCAAATATTTTAGAATAAAATACGAAACATATCCCTTTTCTCAATATTATCTCTAATGATATATAGATGGGTTCTTGTTTGAATTACAATGTTTATTGTTACGATATATCACCCTCTTTCTGATCTAAAAAAGACCAGTATTGTTACTATAACTCACAAGCATAGAACATTATACAGAATATTATATTGAATGAAAGTTTGAAAGATTTCCATGACTATTGTGCATGTGACAATGATCACATTAACGCATTAAGATTTTTTAATGAAAGTATCAAATGAATTGATGTTGAGCTAATTGAATTTTTTTTATTTGAAATCGAATATGATCATATATAATTATTCTCTTTTTACAACACAAGCATAATACATGGACATATATAGTTGCTATGACTAGTAAAACTTATTTTAAAATTAAAATTCTGGATTATTATGTGATACATGTAGATTGATCCAAATCTTAGTTTTTCCAACATTTTTTAATCCAATAAATATATATAAACACAAGTTAATCTATCTTGAAATATTTCTGATGTTGCCATAGCAACGATTTTGAAAATCAATTATTTTGGATTTAAGAAAAAACACACCTTTTACTTTTTAGTATATTTTTCATTAAGGTTCAAATTCACATTATACTTGATTGAGATGAAGATATGTCTCTGTGTTTTAATTTAATTTATGCTCAAAAATGTACAAAAAGATGCAATTTTCCAAAAACGGTCAATTTAGCAAAACATTGAGATTTAAGTGATTAAATTAGATACAATGGTGATCGACAAATGTAAATAACTTGCATCATTTTTGTTGCTTTAAGTCTTGTTCTTAAGGAGATATATTTATTTTACATTCAAATTTATCGGTTGTTTAATCATTTTTGTTTAAAAAATGTCAAAAACGGTGCTGTGAGAGGCGTTCAGGAGGCCAAAATTAGCCATTTGTGGTTACCATGGTAACGGCACCCCCAATAATTTTTTTTGCTAAATTTCAAGAAAGGGTGATATATAAGTAATAATTATAAAATTTGAACAAAATCAGTGACATCACCTTTCCACCGATTATTGAGAAATTTTGGTTCTTATAAAGAATGATGTTTCAATTATTTATTGGTAAGGAAAGTAAATGTCAAAAATGGTTTGCTAATAATGGCAGCGACATCAAACATAATTTGTTCATGTGATTGATTGTTTATTTGTCTTGATTGTATATGCCTAAAAATGTAAGTACTTTATGCCATATAAAGAAAACAATCTCTCTCCTCGAAATGTACCTTGCAAAACAGCATTCAATATCGATTTAACGTTTTTAATGCGTTGTTTAGTATTAGGGAACTAATATTTCATTTACACTAAGCAAAAATTGCTCAAAAAGTTGAAAAGAGTATATTGCAGATGCAAAGATTCATAGCATAGTAAATATGATTTTACAGTTTTTATTCCTCTTATCTTGATTTATGTATCAAGAACCTCTGTAATAGATCAAAGAACGATCAATTGTTTGAATAAAATATGAAGATAAACATCTGTCATCCATCACAAAAATCTCAAACAGTACATTTTTACTGCATAATTAGTGAATGTTTTTATTGCAAACACAAGTATACAATTCCTGTTGGTGTTGAAAGCCTTCCGTATGTATTAAACTTATGTTTGGTAAGAAGGATATGAAGATAACGACGAGCCATTAAGAATCCAGTTCTTTTGCACGTGAGATATGTCCTACCATGTTGACATGTCCTTATGTTGTGCTTGTAGGAGATTTCTGTATATATTATATTTCTGAGAATTTAAATATGTTTAAGCTCCCAAACTATGAGAAGAAAGGGAAAGATGATCCTCTATGAAGAATGAAACACTCTCAGATGACTATTGATACTTTAGTAAATAAGGCATTACACAGGTGACAGTCAATCCAATCTAAGATGATGAAAAAATGAAACACGAAATTGATTTGTATCTTTATGCATGCATCTTTATATTAAATATATTTAATCACTACCAACCTTACCAACATGACACCCAATCAAAGAAAAAAGTATTGAATTTCCTGAATTTGGGCAGACTTCTATATTTGTAGGACTGCTCAGAGTCTTTGGACTCTTCTAGAAAACTAATACAGCCTACCCATGCTTCTGAGACCAATATATTCACATAAATGTATGGCTGAACATTTGTCAGATTTTGAATGAATTTGATTAATATGCAAATCTTTTTTGTAGTTTCCCATTGCATGAATATTAGTAGAGAACTCCTCAAGTTAACGTATTGATAAAAAAGTTTAAAAGTGAAAAAAAACGTTCTGGAGGATTGATAGGCAACATAAATACACCAAGAGCATAATTTATCGTCTCCAGGAGTTGCATATATGTTACTTGTAATACACTGTACCTACGTATAGAATAAAATAAAAGCAACAATAACATGATTGCTTATTGGCTGTCTAAACACAGTTATCAGGAAAGAAAGGTTTTTAATTTCAAATTTGGTGCATTAAGCATAAATAAGGAAGTCAACGTTTGAGTAGTGAGCAGGCCATAGAAAATGAGAAGGGTACCCTTCTTAACTAAAAATGTTGTACGACCTGTATGGTCACGATAAAAATGGTTTAGTACATTATGCCAGCATGTTTGTTATGTGATTGAGAAGTTTTTCTGCGTGTTGAGTACTTTTTAATAATGACAGCAGTGAGTTTGAACTGTTTATTTTTTTCTTAGCTAGGATTTTTAATATACAATTATAGCCTTTTTATGAGATTAATCCCTCGGTATGTAGACCTTAGAGAAAGCATATCGACCAAGCACAAAATGCAAGATTGATATGTTTTCTCTAAGGTATTCCTTCAGACTCAAAGGGGCTATCAAAAGCAGGGGTTCTCGATCTTATGAATCTGTTTTTTTTTTCGGAATATTGCTGCAACTGAATGTGCAAAGCACAAAAAGGAAACTCGGCGACTGGAAGAGGTTTTCATGCTACGCACAGCACCATATCTAACCTAAAAAACATAAACTACTGAACTGGAACAAGCAATGTTGGCCAAAAGTACGGGAGACAACCTGTGACATCAGCAGCACAGGATCATTTCAGAGGAATACCTAAACATCATGAATGTGACACAATTTATTCATTTACAGAATAGCTATCCCTGAACTGCACAGGCCCTCTAACAAGACTTTTTTCAGTTGACTACGAATGATTGAGGATTATTCGACCCATTGTTCTGTCCAAAAAATAACCCCAAAATCGACTTCAAAGATCTTAGATCAAACAAGCATGACCACAGCATCACCACTGAAAACTTACGTTCAGCTAATAGTCCGGAATGTATATTGGATTGATTGATTGATTGATTGTATATCGTTTAACGTCCCTCTCGAAAAAAATGTATATTAGAAAGCCTGTGGTAAGTTTAAAATTACTAAGGGTTCGTAATAAACGTTAAACAGAAAAATGACCCCTCAGGACGTTAAAAACTTGTTCGTGGTAGTGTAATGATATGAAAAATGGTATAACTTAAATGTAAGAGTGATTTGGTTCGTATTCGAAGGACTTTGGTGGAAAAAGGTACTATAACGATGTTCTACATTTGTACCTGCACATGCCTTTTAAATTTCGCAGCATTCTAGAGCCGTGTTTCAATATGACAATACACAGTCACATAGATCTCGTTCGATTATCACATTCTTGCAAAGCAATGGCAACCTGTTTTTGCCACAGTCATCTCAATCGCCAGATTTAACCCAAATTTAGCAGCTTTGGACAAAATAGATTGACATGATTTGTCAAGGACAATCGCATCCCAGACTCTGTAACAGCTGACCATATCTCAGTCTATAATTGGAGTGGGAGAGTATTCATTCACAGTTTTATTACACACATTTGCTTCCATTAGTTGCCGGGTTTTTTATGCGCCCGGATCGATAGATCCGAGGCGTATATTGCTTTTGTCCTGTCTGTCTGCCTGTCTGTCTGTCTGTTTGTTTGTTTGTTTGTTTGTCCCCAAACTTTAACCTTCGCCATAATTTTTGAACCATGAAAAGTAGAAACTTCATATTTGGTATGCATACTTCACTAATGAGGTACTTTCAATTGACACCAATATTAATGACCTTGTGACCTTGAATGTGACCTATATGCTAAAAATATCTTATCAGCAAACTTTAACTTTGCCATAATTTTTAAAGCATGAAAGATAGAGACTTCATATTTAGTATGCATACTACACTTATAAATTTCTTTCAAATGACACCAAGGTCAATGACCTGGTGACCTTGACTGTGACCTATATGCTAAAAATAGCTTTTTCGTAACTTAACTTTCATCATAACTTTTGAACCACAAAAGATAGAGACTTCATATTTGGTGTGCATACTCCATATCAAGTTCTTTTTAATGACACCAAGGTCAATGACTTGGTGACCTTGACTGTGACCTATGCTAGTTTGCTAAGAATAGCTTTATAGGTTTTTGTTGCCGCCGGGCGCATTGTGTTTCACAAACACATCTTGTTTTGGCTATCATTTGTTTCTGTGGGGGTGGGTCCTTACCAGATATTGATCTTTGATTACCTAACTATCCATGAATTTATAATTCTTGAGTAATTATGACACTTCGATAGTATTCATATTGTCATCTACAACTCTGTATTATCAATAAACCATTTTAATAAAATAATGAATGACCTCTATGGAAAATTCAAGCTCCAATTATCGAATTTCTTTGGCAAAACTGAGGTCTGTAGATCTTAATTTTGACGTGTTGGATCTATTAACATACAAATTGCTACTGCTCTTGTCATAATTAGGTATTGGTTGGTACTGTACATGTCATAACTTAAGTTACAAGTTGGCACAGTATTTGTCATAATTAGATAATAGTTGGTCTTGTCATAATGAAATACTGGTTGATACTGTTTTTGTCATAATGAGATACTAGTTGGTACTTGAATTGTCATGTTTTATACTGTTTGGTACTGTATTTATCATAATTAGATATTGGTTGGTACTGTACTTATTATGAGACAATAATATATTAAATGATTATCTTTATACGATTTAGGATTATTACAATGTATTTGCTAAGCACATTAAAATTGTTTTACCTGAAATGGAAATCAGCCTAGAAAATAAGGTTTATAAAGACATTACTCCTTTAAACAACATGGAGGTTTTTCTTGATGATAATGTTTCTGTTTGTTTTGATATAGAAAGATCATTTTTATGAGTCATTTATCTCATGCGTAGATCTAATTGCCGTGATGTTAGCCGGAAACCGTATACATTTTTTTCACATGCATACTAAACTTGGCCCATATAAACAATAGTCGGACAAATCTTCCCGATAATAGCGGGGACATGTTACGTTGACGCTCCCTGTCCGTTGTGAGCTAGTAACATCGCCCTATATCGGTGCACCATGTTTATATGTTTCAGTTACTTTTTGCACCAATCGGTAAATGGATGTTTATGATTGTTTTTTACCAGCTATATGTGTGCAGAAATGAGGGTAAGTCATAATAATATGAATACACAGTTTAAATCTAATGTAGAATATATATATTTTTTTAATATTTACCTATTAAATTTACTTCATGGATCCAAAAACAGTGTTCTTTATCATGGGATGCAGCACTGTACATTATTTTTCTCCATTCCATAATGAACTGTATAATTTAAGTGAACATCTATACTCACCGTCAATGAAAACGCAACACTCTAATTTTAGGGTGAAAAGTATATACGGGTTATAACTATGTACAAAAAAAGTTAGGACATCTTTTACTTTGCCAAATCAATTATTTAACGGTTGAATGAATTTCTTTCCTCTACCGGAAGTTGCTTTTTAGCCCTCTTAACAGAAATCAATTTTTTGCATTTTTAATACAATTTTAAACAATTGTTTGGGTTTTCAAGGTTTTGAAACTGTTAATCTTAAGTATTGTACTAAAAGGCCGGAAAAAAATCCTTCTTTCTTTACCGGATGTGATGCCTATATTTCCTCAAAATGACTGATTTTCAGTGCTAATGTTGGAAATTCTCAAAATAAAGAAAAAAAGAGCTGCAGATGCAAATGTACACTATATCACAACTCATCAGGCTCATGTGTTTCAATAGCATAAATAATATTTTCTTGACCGGATGTCCAAGAGTTACTACACTACGCTAAGTTAGAGAAAATTCGACCGCAGTATCTGAACAACAGGCAATTAAAAATGCCCAAGAATATTTATTTCGCTCAGATAAAGACATTGATAAACCTAATGGGTGGTAGAAATCGGACTGCGTACATGTATATTTTACATAGCGGACTAGCATGTTTAGATTAAATGGTCGGAAGGGGGGGGGTGTTTTATTTAAATGTTATCTGTTAAGAGGGCTAAAAAATCAACTTTCGGTAATGAAATAAAAACCATTCAACCATTAAATAACTGATTTGGCAAAGTAAAAGTTGTCCTAACTTGTTTGGTATATAGTTATAACCCGTATATACTTTTCAACCTAAAATTAGAGCGTTGCGTTTTCATTGACGGTGAGTATATTAAGAATTTGCTATTATTAAATTTCAGTTACTAGTATTTGTAATAAAATACAGGAGACAAAAATTCATACTTTACATACTGAGACAAAAATACTTTTTCCTTGATTTTATATTCTAAACATTGATACATGTAGCATTTACTTACCATCGTTTCTCAGATCTCTTGCATTGTTTCCTTAGTTGTGACATTAAAGTGGCTGCTTTGGATTAAATTCTAATTGAGCCATGATATTACACATGTTTCTAACATGTTTAAATTCATAACTCTGAGCATAAAAACACTTGATAATAAATTATTATGAAAAAAAATTCAGGTTACAATGTTCATTATTTCAACTACATAACTCTGCGGAAATCTCGCCGTTGAGGTAGGAAACGTCTGTTGGATTGAGGAAAATGTGCTACAAGATCAATCGTTGTGGAATATTTCAGGAAAGATAAAAAAGATCCTGGAAAAATATCTTGCTAAGCACTTGCAGAACTGAACTTACACTTAATATATAGTAAATCTGTAATAGGAGAAAATCCTCAAATGTTACATTTAAACGATCCTTCTAGCAAAGCGGAATCTTCATCTTCAATTCTCCTTGAAGGTATATATACTAATCAAAATTTCTAAGTCCCCACGTAAGTTTTTGTTTTACACTGCTTTTATATTAAATAATTCAGACAATATAAATTGAAAACTATACAGGATAAAAAGAAGCAAAATATTTTTTTTTCACTTAATCTAATTATATCGAAGGAATTTAACACAAAATGCAGAAGCGTGAAGGCACCCTAGAATTGAAAATTCGCAACGTTCAATACTGTTTTTATCCTCCGTGCAAACGAATTAAGATCAAGACATTTGCTTCTCAAAGAATTCACACAATTAAAGAAAAATCCTTATGGAATGTTATTCAATGTATGGACTAGGTCGTCCTCTATATTTCCGCCAGATTCTGCTGCTGCAAAAGCGCTTAATCTCTGGTCCATCTTGTCCCGTTCATGTTCTATAGGGTTGAGATGTGCATGACACTGAAGCTAACCAAAATTGTTTGACCAAATATTAATCCTACAGTACATAAGGTTTTCTTAAACGCATTCCCCACTCTTCCAGTTTGTTTCTAATAATTTGGATAATTAAGGAGACTTGAATTAACTTTTAATGAGTGCAGAGCAATTGTACTTGCAGAAAGGTTCCTTCCACAATAGTAAGTAATTCTTATGTAGTAGCCCTGTTAATGTGTCGTTGCAGTACGTGTATACGCCTTGACCATGGGCACTTCCGGTTCCAGTTTGAGTGAATTTCCGGTTAAACTCTAGGGTGATTAAGTGGTATTTCTTGAAAATCTAGCAATTTTTAATGATTATAAGGAATACAAGTAAGCTTTGTGCATCTTCCTGACGGTATTTTTAACGGTTTTACATAAAATAAACAAATACAAACGAAGGAAATACAACTTTCCTTTAGTACCACCAGCTTAGACCATAGCAACTTCATTTGCACTTTGTCGTTCGTACATACACGGCATTTTAAACAAGCTTTTTTCTGTTTTTCCTAAACAACTGAAGATGGAGAACACATGGCAATTTAAATAAATGGAAGATACACCCGAAAACATATGAAACTCGCACTTCATGCTTTTTAACAAAAAGGGTCATGGCTGGGTAATTATACATTCGATTTCAATTTTACTTGGTCGTAACAGGCAATCATTGAAAAATTAAGTCAAAATTGTGAACAACTAGTTAATTACTGCTAAGATTTTTAAATACTCAAAATAATAAAAGTGGGGACTTTTTGACAAGTATACTTTTTAAAGCTGATTAAATGTCCTAATTATAAAAGATCTTTTATTTGGAGTATAATACTTTGCAATGTCTATGTAGTGTCGGTATGAAGATTGTTCGAATCATTCGAATGCCACCACTGTAAACATCAATGTCAAGCACAATTAATCTTGCAAGATAAAGAACTTTCTCGACTCCCCCGCAAAAGAGCGATAATAAGTTAGATAACTGTGAGGGCACTCACGATATTACATACACTTGCTTCGTATCCCGAATGTATTTTAGTTTCTAAAATATACATTTAATATGATCAAAAGTATAGAGCAATTACTTAAACAAAATTATGTTTAAAAACTAAAACATAACGGATAAAACTCGCATATCCTTTAGTAAAAATAAAAACTGATGAAAAACCTTAGAGATACTATGCTCTTCGAAACAACGTGTGTTAAGTGATGTTATGATAAGTTGAATTCCTTTGGAGGAGGTTGATCAGAAAATAGAAATAAAGAACAGGTATTTATGAAACACTAACGCTCCCTCCATAGCTAATGTTTTGAAACGGAAGTCAAACATCAAGAACAAGAGATCAAATTATTGTTCCGAAAAGATAGGATCTGGCACAAGTACATACATATATAACTGTGATATATGAAAATTCCAGCACCAACCATTGAAAAGGTGTGGCCAATAATTTTCTTTAATGTGGGTCAAGTCACGAGGTCATTAGGTACTATAAGACTTCTCAGAGAATATTTAAATGTACTTTGTGCATTAACTTCTCGGAACTACATATGAATGACATCATGCTTATTGGGAGAGTGTCATAAACTTTACAGCTTATTCCAATTTGCAAATGAGGAATCAAAAAGCTAGTTTAAAACAAAGGTGTTTTAATATTTTTTTTTTCAAAATATCTCATATATCCGAATAATTCAGGTAACTGTTGCATTCAACTGTACTCGTGTCAGCGTGTTCAAAATACGTACGAAAATATACATTTGACATTCACCCTCTTTATGTGGATAGAAGCAGAATTCATAATATGTCTATAAAAGAGCCTGGAGTAGGTTATTAATGAGGGTTTATTTAAATTTTTATCTGGCAATCTGTAAGAAGAGTCACACCTCTAACTTGATCTTGCTTGGGAAAATATATAATGGCTTTGTTTAAAGGTTTAAAAAAGATAATTAAGCATATAGGTCACAGTTCAGGTCACAAGGTCAATGACCTTGGTATCATCTGAAAGAACTAGATTAGTAAAATGTTCACACCACATAACATAACATCTCTTTTTTTCATGGTTTAAAAGTTATGATGAAGTTTGTTGACAAAAAAAAAACAACAAAAAACAAGAGGCCCAGGGGCCACAGCGCTCACCTGAGCACATCAGGCTTGAATTTTACCTCCCCCCCCCCCCCGGCATTCATCATTTGAACAAACTAGAATCTACACTACCTGAGGATGATTCCATATAATTATCACTAATCATAGCTTTGAAGTACTTGAAATTTTTTTTTTTAAAGGTTTCCCTATATATCTCTATGTAAAACTTGGGTCGGCCATTTTGGCCCCACCCTAGCCCCGGGGTTCATGATTTGAACAAACCTGAATCTACACTACCTGAGGATGATTCCTCATGAGTTTCATCTTTCCTGGCCCAGTGGTTCTTGAGAAGAAGATTTTTTAAAAATTCCATTATTTTCTCACTAATTCATAATTATCTCCCCTTGGAAAAGGGCGTAGCCCTTTATTTGAACAAACTTGAATCCCCTTCACCCAAGGGTACTTTATGCCAAGTTTAATTGAAATTGGCCCAGCGGTTCTTGAGAAGAAGTCGAAAATGAAAAGTTTATGACGACGACAACAACGACAACGACTACAACGTTGACAGACAATGAACAAATTTTGATCAGAAACGCTCACTTGAGCCTTCGGCTCAGGTGAGCTAAAAAATAAAAAAGTTATGGCTATATTGGTCATTTCACATGGTGCATGTGCGTGCTCTAGCTTGCAAGCATGTGTGCGAAAAATGACCTTCGTTCCGCAAATCTACATCGGATGCCTACTTACCCTAAAAAGGTTTTACCTCAATTGGACGAGTAGTTTAGGAGATCCTTAACAAACAAATAAGTACCCAGGAAGAAGAAAAATAATAATAGTAAGAAAAAGAGTCAAAACAATATGTTCTCCAACTTAAGAATCGTTTGGGAAATATAATAGTGTACATCCCTTGTTGTTAATGCTCACTGTAGTGGAGACTTAACAGTGTGTACCAAATAGCTCCCTTTATATTTCCGGTAAAATAAAGACTGGCAAGTGGTGCTAATCAGTAACTATACTTAGCAAATTGTGTTTCAATTTAAAAAAACAGGAATCTAAGACGGGTACCTGATATACTGTAGAAGTGGAAAACATTACGGTGTTTTTAATTTCACTATGTTCACGATTTCTGAATTTTCCGCGAACTTTAAACCATCGTGATTATTATTTTACGTCATTTCTACCTAGAAACAGTCATAGTACCCGAATAATTACAAACGATTCTCCGTGAAATTAAAACCACCGTGAAAGGTAACTTTCTAACAAACTGTGAAATTTTAGACACGTGAAATTAAAGACGTCTACAGTATAAAGGTAAATTAATGAACAAACATATATTTTAAAAAATCTACATTCGATATTGCAGAAATAATTTTAATTTCATTTTTACATAAGGTTTTTCACACGCATTAAGTCTGTTTGTATGTAAACACATTCAAAATGCTAAAACTTCGAGCACGAATTTCACCTCTGCTGATTTTAATTTTATAGGATCCTTAATTTAATAGAAAATTATCACTGCATTGTCTTTTTGAAGTGTAATTTTGTGCACATCCTGAGAAAAATATTAATTCAAGACAAAAGTCTGATTTGGGTAGCTAAAATAAAATAAAGCTGCTTCACGTAGGTAAATAAAACTATGTAGGTAATTTTAGCTACATAGCTAGATTAAGTCATTGTACCAGACCTGATGTAGTTGAATCCACATTTTCAAAAGTTATGTCCCTTGGCTGCCATCTTTGGGGATAGAGCCATAGAATCCTCACAGTACCCTTTGTAGTTTTCAGGTTTGTAACTGTGTCATTTGACTTGAATAAAAATTGCCGCATAGTTTATACTAATTGTCCCATATTCGGGCTACCCACACGTCCAAAGAAAACATTCAATACACAGTGAATACAACCGTTTGGTAGCATAAAGAGGAGAAATGTTGTTTCTTTCCCTTTTGGTTGACCCTACAAAGGGACACAACTTTTGTAAAGTGTGGATTGGACTATGTTCCACAAACAAACCCACTAAACCTGTATCACATCATTATTGCCCACTAAATATAACTGATGTAATTCCAAGTTAATATTCATTGGGTCTATTTTGTAATCATTACGTTTCGTGATTTTTTTTACTGTCATCAAGGAAGTAAAGCGACTGTCACTGCAATTCGTCTAGAGATAATTCGAACGAAACATTTCATCATATTCTATGTTTTAACTTAAGTGTATTTTCCATACATATAAAAAAGCAGCATATTAAACACATAATAAATATATTTTATTAAATATATAATGCAGCTGCATGTGAAAACATTTAAAACGCTCGAACAAACTTTTATCGTACGATGTCGCCTTTGTACAACGCGGGAGAAGTAATACGCAAATACAACCTGAGATTACAATCAAAGTACTGAAAGTACTGCTACGAGTTGATGGTATTGTTTGTACGTTGTTTAACATCCCTCTCGAGAATTTTTACTCATATGAATAGGCATCACTACTTGCTAATGTAGAGCTGCAAATTTTGCCCTATACTCGGCACTTTACGCCCATTGATCAGCGATGGCTCTTTTTTGTGCCAGAACATACTGCGACACAGGACCTCGATTTATACCTTCTCATCTGAAGAACCGGTTGCCACGTCCCATAGTGGGATTCCAACGCACGATGTAAGGATCAACTGCTTACTGTTAAAATGAGTTGAGATCACTGAATAATATTTGGGTTATTGCTCTGATGAAAAAAAAAATAAGCAGCTTTTCAAACAAATATTTCAAACTAAGAGGACCAACCTTCAACAACATTAAAATAGGGAATTGTAATTTACAAAGAGCGCAAATGAATGAAATCATTAATATGCACATCAAATATTTTCACTATTTTCATAAATTGACAAAAAATTTTACATTTTCAGTGCACATCAATATGTTTTATTTCTCGTGATTGAGCCACTCCTAAATTTCAAATCCTCTATTTTCATTGATATGCATATTACAAAAATTCAAAATTCTTGATTTTTTTAATATGGTTATTGAAATTCAGCTCCTCATCTTTCAAAATTTACATGTATATTTGATATTTTCTTGATTTAGCCACTCGTGAAATTCAACTCCTTGTCTTGTATGGTCTTTGATATGCAAAATAAATACTCCAATTCTCCAGATTTAGCTGCTCTTAAAATTCAACGCTTTTTGACTTTTAGTTGAAATGAACATTTCAATTTTATGTTTTTTCGTTTGGTTTAGACACTCTTGAAATATATCTACCTGACTTCAATTCATTGATTTGTACATGTAATATTTCATTTCTTTCAATTTATCTCTTTTGTAATTCAACTACATGACTTTCATTGTAAAATTCATGAAGGATTAAAGCAATATGTGCTGCATATTTGACATAGGAAAAAATGTTGCAAATTTGTAATTAACTTTTTCAATGACAGAAAATAGAACATTTATAAACTTCTGTTGTTCATATCTGCTATGAAAGAACTATTTATACGCGTTGATTGACGCAAAATTGCATCATTGTCGTCCTGTACAATAATGATTTCTTACATATAACTGTATATTAGGTTGTACAGAAATATTTCTTCTGAAACATTTTAAAACTTTATTCTGGTTTTATTGATCATAAGGGTTTAGATTACATACAAATTAATCATAACACATTTTACCAGCAAAATAAAATTCTAAAAAATGCAGCTCATATTGTTTTAATATTCCAATTCATTTTGGCTTTTTGACTGAAGACTAAAACTTTATCACAATGGCATGGTATATTAATCGTTTACATAGTCTATTTACTATTGAATATACATGTATTTGATTTTTCAGTCTCTTGATTAACATTTATAAACAAACATTTCTCATTTTATTTATGAATAACACCCGATTTGATCTTTCTGTATTTTTTTTTGTTATTATTTTTTTCACTGTCTTCTGTACTTTAAATTCACAGTATCACATTGCCAGCATCTGATAGTAAGACACAGCTGGATATAGTAAAGGAACTCTCTTTCCAGAGTAGCACAGACAATAAGATAAGAATCACAGGCATGTTAAGTGACCTTTACTGTATTTAAAGCTTGCTGTGATGCAGATCTAAATTGTGGAAGACAGTGGTTCTTTTATTGTTTGCACAAGAAGTAATGGCATTTACATAAAAATATTTTTATCAAATGGTACACTGTACAGCTCATTTCTTCCCTTTCAGATTAATATTTGATTTACTTCGACTATCTCAACTAGGTGTTTCTCCCCTTGTTTACAAACATAAGTAGTGTTCTATATATAAACACATCATCACTAGTTATCGCGGGAAAATTGCACTGGTCATTAGCATACTGGATCACGCAAGGATTAGTTTATTTATATACCACTAACACGTCAGTCTTGTAAAAA